CAGCCCAGCTCCAGGTCGAGCTGTTGTTCAGCATCTTAGCTGTAGAGGGCAGTGTCACTGGCCCTCATGTGGGATCTGAACCGGGGCTCTCTGGCATTAACCAACACGCTACTCGGCTGGCCCTTGAATAGGTCTTTACCTTAGATGTTCTGTTGCAAATATTTAGCCTCTTGGGTTGGAGGTTGCTTCCAGAGCATGTTGTACAGACCTTTATTTTAGCATTTCTCATTGTTTAAGAGAAATTAGCTGTTTATGTGGCCTCTGATGGCAGAAATTGGGGCTTAGTTTTTGTATTTGTATCCTGTCTCATTGTGTGTCTATCATAGTATCTAGCAAATAAGGTGTTCAGTGTATATGGTAAGTAAATGAATATAGGCGGTTTTGAGATGGTTCACTTATTAGACCTGTGAGTGCGTGCTATATGCAGTCACCGACCTAGGTGACTTGAACCAGACCCAAATCCTTTGTCCTCAAGGAGCTTCCATGCTAATTAAGATTGATCTAAATTCTGAACTAAACTAATCACATCCAATGAGGACACCAGCCTGCAAGTATGAAGTGACTTGTACAAGGTCACTGAGTAATTGGCAGAGTCTGGATTAAAACCTAGGTCTCCTCACTTACAGGCTAATACATACTTTGCCTCCCGCATAGCAGCAGCACTTTGCCATTTTTGCCTCTCCTAGTAAAGTATTTGCCGTTTTGCCTTCACCATTGGGGGGATTGAATATGTGGATAGAGTACTTCTAGAGAAACACATTGTTCTGGTAAAAATGGTTTTTGTTTCTATTTAGGCGGTAGACTTCTGTTTTCCGAAAGGGTTTTAAGTAGCAGGAATGCAAATAGCCTGCAATAGACAGAATTTATCTGGAGATCCAAATGCCTTTGGTCCCTTTATGTTTGAGGGCCAGTAAGACAACTTCTAGAGTCGTATTTGTAGAGATTCTTTTACCCAGGGCCTTTGTTGACCTGTTAATACTTGATGATTTATCACAAGGTACTTGCAGTCTGAATTTCCTCCATTGTAAAATGGGGATAAGAATACGCTGGCGTTACCACTGACTGGATGCCTTAAACAAGTTATTTTTCTGTGCCATCGTTTCTTCTGTAAAAATTGTGCCAAACTTACCGCTTTGTGGTGTTGTGAGGATTAAAAGAGTTAGTACAAATAATGTCTATATATCCATGCCTGGAATATAGGAAGTACCTAGTGTCCACTATGATTATTAAAACAATGATAGTTGAACACTTACCATCCTGGGCACTGGGATGCAGCAGTGTACTAAGGAAAAACTATATATTAGCGAGTGTACTACAAAAGTAAACAAGTGAGAGATTTCCTCATAGCATTTATCGTAATTGAAAACTCAAATTGGGTAATGAGCCACAGAGGGTCTGAGAGGCTAGAGGTGGGGAAAGAGTTTGAGGCGACATTTGAACTGAGACTGATAATGAAAAGGAGCCAGTTATGTAAAGATCTGGGGAAAAGCATTCCAGGCAGAGGGAACAAGTGCAGAGGCTGCAAGGTAATGAGTATTTGATCATGAAGAAGATGAGAATCTGTAGAGAGGTCAAAAAGGGACAGATTATGTAGAGCCTGGTAGTAATAATTATAGTAATAATAATAGCTACCACTATTACTAATATTAATGCCATTTAACACCTACTAATACTATTACTATACTAATGTTACAGCAACAGTAATAAAAGCTAATACTTATAGAGCACTAATGTGCTAGGCGCTGTTCCAAGTACTTTATTAGCTCATTTAATCCTCACTGCAGGTTCTGGTAGGTTGGCTGTGATGGAGCAGTGTTTATAAAGAGCTATACACATCTGGCATCAGAAAATGGCAACTTTAGGCTGTCAGCGGAGGAAAGGATGTGAATTCTGTCAGCATTTTAGTGTCAGACTTTTGAAAGCTATCTAGTCAAACTGATGACGAGGTGCCATTTACAGGTAGAGCACTGTGCTAGGTTTTGTTGGAGACTTAAAGTTGTGAGAGTTAAAAGTGGTTTACTGCGTATCAGGTACTATCCTAAATGTTTCACGGGGATTACCTCATTGAACAGAGATAATGAGATAGGCTTTATTTCTATTCTCCCGCCCATTTACTTCTGAGTATACTCAGGCTCAGAAATTATGTAACTAGTCTGACAACAAAAGGCAGAGCCATTATCTGACTTTTTCATGATTCTAAAGCCTAAACACTTAATTCAGGCTATAACTAGGAAGTGTGAAATTCTAAAGAAAGAAACATTGTAGAATTTTTTAAAAGGGAGAGGCAGACTCTAAGGAAATCTAAGGTTAAGGTACATTATTAACTCAAGGCTGAAACAGAATAGCTTTCCTTGGTAGTTAATTTCGTTTCTGCCCTAAAGGTTAAGACATTTCTTTAGTAAAGGTGGCCATGTGTCTTGTGGGAGTGGTATAATTTGAAAAATACTTTTCCGATATAACCCATATTCCTGTTTGCAGTCATTGATTTTTAACTCATACTTTTTAACTTTGAGTGTAGGATTATTTGCAAATTTAGTTAAAATACAGTTGGTATAGTAGTTCTGGATGTGTTTATCATCCTAGAAGGAAAGTTGGTTCTTTATTAGGATTTTTTGGCATCAGAATTGAACTGTGATGTGGAAAAAAATTCAAAGGGTAATTAATGTAAAGCAGGGGATTGAAAAATGTAGGGAAGTTGGAAGAGTCTGGTGAGAAAAGAATATAAGAATGATTATCTTCAAATATACATAAGGAGTATAATTGTTGATCTCTTGAGCACAGAAATGTAAATTTCATGTATAATGGAGAGATTTATGTTAGCTACTGGTAAGACTGATAGGTGTTCAGTAAATTGACTATGGGAAATTATAGTAAAAATAATTTTTATAAGATTCTACATACCCTACTTGTGAGGTAGCTTAGGTACAGTATCACCTAGGCATTCATTGGCCCATTTAACAAATATTTATTGAGGCCTACTACGTGCAGGCCTAATTATGTGCTTGGGATATAAAGGTGAACAGGACAGACAGAATTCCTACTCTAAAGGGACTTAACAACAGAGAGTATGGCATAGTATTAAGAGTTATTTGCCCATGTTTGAATCCTGGCTGTTCCACCGAACCAGCGGTGGCTTTGGACAAGTTATTTAACTTCTGTGTGCCTGAGTGGCCTCATCTGTAAGATGCAGTTGATAATAATATCTATCTTGTAGCGTTGTTATAGTGATTAAATGCCTAAAAAGAGCTTAGAGGACCACTGCCTGGCATATAGTAATTACTTTTAAGAGTGAAATTTTTTTTTTTTTAGAAAACACTTGTGAGATGAGATAGATAATAACACTTGATATTACTTACGTGCTTACACGCTATGGAGAAAATAAACCAGGGTGTTTAGCTGGAGATTGAAGGATGGGCTAGGGTGCAGTGTAGAGAAAGGCTTTTCCTTTAAGTAGAGAACACTAGTGATCTCTTAAGCTGCTATCCTCCCCTCTTGTATAAACTTTGTATTTGGAAGTAATTTCAAACTACAAAAAGTTGCAAAAATAAAGATAGTATACTTAGTGTTAATATTTTACTTCTTTTACATTATTGTTTGCACGCATGCATGCTCTCTGTTACTCTGAACCATTTGAGAGTAAGATACATGTACCATGGCCCGTTACCCCTAAATACTTTAGTGTGTATTTTCTAAGAATAGAGACATTCTTTTGCTTAGCTGTAGTGCAGTTATCAACTTCATACATTTACAGTGATAAAATACTTTAGTGTCCATATTCCATTGTTGTCCATTAATCCTTTAGAGCCTTTCTTCCCTCTAGCACAGGATTCGGTCTAGAGTTAGTGCGTATCTCTAGCCTCCATTCATCTAGAACATTTACACAGCCTACCTTTTATCATCGACATTTCTGAAGAATACAACCCTGATCCCTCTTTTTAATAGAATGTTCCTTATTTTGTGTTTGTCTAATATTTCCTCATTATTAAGTTGAGGTTATATATTCTTACCTGAAATATGTGATGTTGTGTCCCTCTCAGTCACATGATGTCCATCTGTCCTTTTTAGATAATATTAATTTTGATCTCCTGGTCAAGGTGTTGCCCAATTTCCTGTTTTTTTTCATCCTCCCTTGCACCTATAAGCAGCATGTGGGGAGACATTTTAAGACCACCCAGATATCTTCTTCATCCAAATTTCCTCCTAGATTTGGTGTCCATTAGTCAATCATTCTTACTGATATAAATTCGATGTAATTAGAGATCGGTAGCTACATTTTTGTAATTTGGGGAAATAAAAATGTATTCATTGTTGCCCACACAGGATGGCTCAGCAGCAGGCCTTGAGGTTCCGAGGCCCGGCTCCCCCACCGAACGCAGTGATGCGAGGCCCTCCACCTCTCATGCGGCCTCCTCCGCCTTTTGGGATGATGCGAGGCCCTCCTCCACCGCCTCGGCCCCCCTTTGGACGTCCTCCTTTTGACCCTAATATGCCGCCAATGCCTCCTCCAGGAGGGATTCCTCCTCCTATGGGCCCTCCACACCTCCAGGTAAAGAATATAGAGATCGCCATTTCTTCATTGGCATTAGTATCAATATTATATCTCAGTGTTCTTAGTTTCACTTTATAGGAAAATATAATCGATATAATAACATGTTGCTCCAAAAAGCAGTGGTAACAGGAATTCACATAGGAATTTAGATGGTGATAGAAAAATATAGGATTAAATAGAGTAGTTCTTACCTGCCTTTATCTGAGAATTTTCGTTAGTAATTCATCTTCTTTATGGGAAATGAAGTTTGAAATCTTAACGTATAGAGTGAGGGAAATCTATTTTCAAGGATACATGTTGTCGTTAAGCATAAATATATGTGTATGTGTATTCCTGAGCAACTTTTGCCAGAAATGATGCCTAGTATAGATGCAGAAAGTGACAACAAACACATTTTGTAAGCACATTGTTTGAGTTTTACTTTCCCCTGGGGAAAAAAAGGGTTATCTTATAATTATAGAAATAGAATTATTGTGGGATTCTTTCTGGATATGAGGTACACATCCCTCTCTAGTATATGTAAATTCAGTTATTATCTGAAATGAGGTCGTTAAGGTACCATCTCTCAGATGTCTTCTTTTGAGGTTGTATTCTTTTTGTTTGGGTATATATCTGTTTTCTTAGTTTATCCAGCCTGTACAGTTCTGAAACCAAATAAATATAGTGGTGTCATCTGCCTTCCATTAGCTTAGATAATCAAGATAGGACTAACTAAAAATAGAAAAAGATAATGATGTACTATTTAAGCGATGTTACCTCTGTTTAGATAGGGTTGTATTTATAGAGGAGACACAGGTTTTAATAATTGGCTTAATAATTTTATTGCCGGACTAGTAATAAATGCCTCTCCCCCCTTAAATTATACAAGGTTTTATGTTTTCTTCAAGGTTAGAATAAGAATAGCTTTTTGACCTACTGACTCTGTTATAACTTGTTACATGTGAATTTATTCTAATATGTGCCTTTATGAGTTAAACCTACTTGCAGAATATAAAATGTAATGGACTTATGTAACCCTCTGATGGCAATGTGTAGATGTTGTAATTGGATACTTTATAAATGCTGTGATGCTTTTCTTGGGTTTGATAGATAATTGTGTGGTTTTACATTAAATCCAACTGATTTCCTGCTAATGTGCATGAGACATATTTGGGGTGGATATTTTATAGAATATGGGTCTGTGTGCAGATGCTTGAAAGATGCTAAACTGAATCTAAAAAACGAGTATGGAGAAGAAAATGTTTTTAGAAAAATAAAATACAGTTTCACATTATTAGCATAGTATTAGTGCCATTATCCAGATTAAGGTGCTTTGGATAATTGAATTTTAGTGTTATTTGTAGATTATAGAGCATATCTTTTTTTTTTTTTAATTGGGGAGTTGGGGAAGGGGAACAGATAAGTAGTTGTTCTTCAATCTTAGTTGTGGAGGGTGCCAGTTGCCATCTGGCTGCCCATTGGCAGCTTGTGGCCTCTAAGCTCAGGTGCTATGTTACAATCTTAGTTGAGGGTGGGCGTAGCCACCATCCTATGCGGGAGTTGAACTAGCAGCCTTGTTGTTAAGAGCGCCTGCTCTATCCACTGACCCATCTGGGTGGCAGCTCAGCTCAAGGTGCCGAGTTCAGTCTTAGTTGCGGGCGGGCGTAGGCCACCATCAAACAGGCAATCTTGTTAGGAGCACGTGCTGTCACCAGCTGAGCCATCCTGCCACCTGTTGGCAGCTTGGCGGCAGCTCAGCTCGGGTGCAGCATCACTGGCCCATGTCGGGATCGAACCAGCATCCCTGTTGCTCAGAGCTCGCACTCTTGAGCGAGCTCTTAACCAACTGAGCCACTCGGCCGGCCCTATAGAGGATATCTTTTTAATCCCTGTCCAAAATCTTTTTAAAATGTTAGGCCATTGTCTGCTTTCATAAGTAAGAAACAGCAGTTATAGTTGAATTGTTTGGCTTAGGATCTCAGGTTGTGTCAGTAATCATTGAATGACAGTGAAGGAATTATCAGAGAGGATTGAATCAGTATGGCTCTAGGAAATACAATAAAAATCCCTATTTCCCAGTAAAAATAAAATAGATAATTATTTTACTGTGTCTTTTAAACTTACTGATGTTCACGTCTTTGAGCTACATTATTATTACTTAAAAAATAAGAAATGACTAATATTTTCCTAGCTAGTATGTATTTTTTTCTTGTAGGAAAAGAGTATAAAGTGTTAGGTACATCTGATTTTCTGTTTTAGTTATTTTATTACTATGTTATTTGTAAATAATGTTTCTCTTACGGTTGGTTCCTATTGTAGGTGAGCTATGGAAGCATTGGTGTGGCTGGTGTTAAAAAGATACAAAAATTGGGGCCGGCCGAGTGGCTCAGTTGGTTAAGAGCTCGCTCAAGAGTTTGAGCTCTGAGCAACAGCGGTTCGATGCCAGCCCGAGTTGAGCAGCCGCTAAGCTACCAATAGGTAGCAGGATGGCTCAGCTAAAAGAAAAGAAAAGAAAACAAAACAAAAAAAGATACAAAAATCAAAATATTTTTTGAAAGTCATCTAGTGTCCAGTGTATGAAATATGCAGTTCACGTATAAAGAATAAAGCAGAATTCACCCATAATGCTGTGTCCCAGAGATGACTACTGTATTTTGATGTATTTCTTTCCAGTCTGTTTAGTAATCATTTTTGTTACAGAAAAGCTTTGCTTACATAATCTAGATGAATGTATTTGAATGGACTATAAAACTAGTTTTGTTTCTCCTACAGTGCTTTATTTTCCCTTGAGTAGAATTCAGTAATAATTTGAAGGAAAAAAGATACATACCAGTGATCATTCCTGTTCTTGTGACTTAACAGAGACCACCTTTCATGCCTCCCCCGATGGGAACCATGCCTCCTCCTCCGGGGATGATGTTTCCACCGGGAATGCCTCCTGTGACTGCTCCTGGTACTCCAGCGCTACCTCCTACTGAGGAGATATGGGTTGAAAATAAAACTCCAGATGGGAAGGTAAATGATAAAATATGTTTAAGTTGGTGACAGAAGAGTAAAACTTAAAAAGAGTTCTGACAGATTGAGATCAGTGACAGTATTCTTGCCAATTAAAAATGAACTTTGGGTAAGCAGGGGATGGACAGGGGATGGACAGGGCCGCGACGGGGAGGGGACTCCATGAAAGGCTCGCTGGCTCGGACTTCTGCACAGACATAGCTTGCCTGTGATTCTGGAAGCTTGTATTTTAAATACATGTCGTGGGGTCTTTAAACAACTTCAGGTTTAGTGTTCGCTAGGACTCACAGGACTCAACCTACACTGTACCCATAGCTAAGACTAATCAGTGAAAGGAAACTAGGTGAATAGGAAAAGGCGCATGAGGCAAAGTCTGGAGGGAACTAAGCACAAGCTTCCAAGAGTCCTCAGTGGAATCATGTAAAATGTATACAATTTCTTCAGCATGGAATCGTGACAACATATGTGAAGTGCTGTATCAGAGAAACTCACCTCAGCTGCGGAGTCGAGGGGTTTCCTTGGGACTGGTTACATATCTGGCGCTATCCGCCTAACACCACGGTTCCAGACTTCAGAAGGAAAGCAGATATTTAGCATAAATTGCATTGTTTGCATAAACAGTTTAGGTACAGTGAGCCATTCTTATGAGTTAGGGAATGGTGGTAATCCTCCCTAAATCCAAGTTCCCAGATGCCAACTGAGGGCCAGCTTTGCAAGTATGGCTTTCCAAGGATAGCGGTCAGACCTGCTGTGTTAACTTTCTGCACAATAGTAATCTTGGGTTGGTTTTTCTTTTTCTTTTTCCCTTTGTGTTAAAAACACAGTGTGCTCATTATAGAAAATTAAGGGAAGGGGAGGAAGGAAGGAAAAATTACTTGTAGTCTCATAAAACACAGCCAATTTTGATGTGCTTTTTCTAAGTAGTTTTATTTTTTATTACCTTTTAAGACAAAATGTAGTTGCATTATTGTTTTTTAATGATAGTTGACGGATTCTATGATATCAATGATTTTGCTTCCTCTGCAGGTTTATTATTATAATGCTCGGACCCGTGAATCTGCATGGACCAAGCCAGATGGAGTTAAGGTTATTCAGCAGTCAGAACTGACACCTATGCTTGCAGCCCAGGCGCAGGTTCAGGCCCAGGCCCAGGCGCAGGCCCAAGCCCAGGCCCAGGCTCAGGCTCAGGCCCAAGCCCAGGCCCAGGCCCAGGCGCAGGCTCAGGCGCAGGCTCAGGCACAGGCACAAGCTCAAGCTCAAGCGCAGGCCCAGGCCCAGGCCCAGGCCCAGGCCCAGGCGCAGGCGCAGGCGCAGGCCCAGGCCCAGGCCCAGGCCCAAGCGCAGGCTCAGGCTCAGGCGCAAGTGCAAGCACAAGCACAAGCAGTAGGAGCATCCACCCCTACGACCAGTAGCCCAGCACCTGCCGTGTCCACTTCCACACCATCATCCACCCCGTCCTCTACCACTCCTACCACGACGACGGCCTCGTCAGTGTCGCAGACAGTATCAAGTGAGTACCAGTCAGCATGTGTCCTCATGTAGGGGCTAGAGAAATGGACACGTAGGGACTGCATTCCAGAGTGATGGTAGTGCTTCAGGTATTATCCTTGATGTTATTTAAAAAACATATTTGACATTCTGTTCTTTTGGGTTAAAGAACAGAAATTTACATTCTTAGAAGAAATGATTTGCCCAGTTGCAATTCCTGAAGCTAAACTGGGGAAATGCAGAGTGAGCCATTCAGCTTGGCAAAGAGTAATGCTGGGTGCTGTGGGGTTTGCAGAGTCAGTGTAAGTCTCCGTACCTACCTCACAGAGCTTCCAGTTTTTCTGAGATGGCCAGTGTAATGCATGAAAAACAATGAGAATATAGTGCACAAAATTATACAGCGAGAACGAGATAAAACAATTGGAGAAAACAGACAAGTGGGTGGACTACATGGGTATGAGGTTGGTCATGAAGGCTTCGTGGTCGAATTTGAGTAGGTTCAAAAGTAATGAGAGGTCATTCAGGTGCAGGGGCGGGGGACAGTGTAAACAAAGCTCAGGAAATGAGGATGAATGTGGTTTGTGGGATTTATATTAAGGAACTCTTTTGATGTGGGAAAGTTTATATTGGTTAATAAATTGAAAAGAGCGAAATCAGGTTCTGAAGAGGTAAGAACCAGGCAGATGGGTGAGTCAGCCTGGCACTGGGGAGCCTGTAGAAATGCAGTACTCTGGGAGATTTTTCTTGTGCTCATTTTTTGGGCAGTGTTGAAATTGGAAACTTACGAAGAACTTTCTAGTAATATCATTTAGAAGTGGGCAGGTCCTAGAAATGGGATGCTGGCAGATGAAGTGAGGAATGGAGGCAGGCAGTCAGAGAGGTAAAATAATTTTCAGGTATAAAGTCACAGAGGCCCAAAGGTTAGGTCTTTTCTAAAAACATCAGTGGATTTCAGGGATGAGGAAAGAAGAATCTATTAATTTGCTTAAAAGATTGTCATTAATAGTTTTACTACTTCTTTTGTTTGTGTGTTTGTATGTGTGTGTGTGTTGCTGCTACTTTACAGCCGAGATTGAGTCCCAGAATATTTAAATAATGAATGTTGATTTATTGTTTGTTACGATACTGTTATATACATATCCCTACAGGGTGATTATAATTTGGATTATCTTGCCACATGGATAATAGATGAGAATAAGAAAAAAAGTGTCCCTTTCCCCATTAGCTTCAGGGACTTGGGAATGATTAGTATGTATTGCACTGTAAGAAATACGTATATGACAAATTTAATTGTAGTAGATTCAGATTTTATTTTATTGCTACAAGAACCAAAGAAGTAAGGTACATGTAATATGGAGACAGTTTTATAAAGGCCCTACTTGGTATTCTTTAGACAGCTTGGGGAAAATGTACATAAATAACTCTTTACAAGTCTTTTTTTTCGTAGCTAGGGTGAATTCTGATATGCAAGTATAACAGTGATATGAGCTAGCTAACTGGTTGAGGGTCTTCGCCTTTTTCTAGGTCAGTGCTTCTAAAACCTGTGTGGCAAGGCAGAAAGCTGCCAGTTTGTATGGGGTATGTGTGCTGGTAATGGAGAAGGTGACTAAGGAAAGCAGTGTGGCTCTATGTGGAGGCTCTGTGTTGCCTGTGTTTTGTTCCCTACCTTCTTAGGAAGGAGAAATACATTGTTTTAAGGAAGGTGGGTAGCCAGATACTTGAACCATCCTCTATGTATTCCATTTCTGCGTATGAGTGGTCTGTCAGGCCCATTGCTACCAACTATTCTATTCAGAGCTCCCGTTTGTCATTTTTTTGCAGTGCCCTGCAGTGATTGGGAGGCCTTTATTCTAAGACCGGAATAGCAAAATCATGTTCTTTTTACTGCCTTTAAACACCAGTTTTGATATCTTTCTGAATATTTCTGACGTCTGTTTTTATTTCACTTGATTCAGTGTCATGAAGTGTTGTCATATTACAGTCTTAATATTTCTCCATCTGGTATAGTCACTTGTCTTTTTTAGTTGAGATCTGAGGCTGGATTAATAATGTATTTTGATGCCTAGTGTTTCACTAGTTATTTTAGCAAATAGACTTAGGAATTTACCCACTCTGAAGCCCTAACTGCCACTCTCCCAGTTTCCCATTTACCGTGTTTTGCCATGGATAATGTGGTTCCGTGTATAATGTGTTCCCATGTTTTTGGCCCAAACTTTCAGGGAAAGAAATCTTTTGTTTTAATTTTTTAATTCAAATTTTTATTTTATTTTTTATATTTTTTGTTTATATTTAGGTACTTGTTTTTTGTATATAAAGGAATTGTAGCATTTACTTATCATTACAATTTAACGCATAAGCATTAATAAAAGAATTAAAAACATGTATATAGCTATGGAATTAGCGCTACCCATGTATAGTGCTCATTTTTCCCTCACAAATTTGGGCAAAAAAATGCGCATTATACACGGCAAACTTTGGTAATTCTTTCATTGCCTTTATCTCTTTCCTCTCGTGATCTATGGCTACTAATCAATTTCAGAAAATCCTGTGTCAGCAAGAGAAATGGGTTGAGTGACTATCACTGGTGTGCCTTTCCACTTGAAATTTGGCACCTTTATAACTCGTTTATTTTCCGGCCTATAGTACTCTGTATCATTATTTTAGTAGTTATATCTAAAACTGTTACCATAAAATTTTTTAAAAAACGTATTTCTGTGAACTGCAGAATAGACCTGGGGAAATGTGACTAAAAATTGAGAAATTTATATTTTAACTCCAGTTGAGTATAAACTTATTTTATCCTGTGCAAGTTTGTGAAAAGTGGTGATAAAAATCCTACTCAGGGAAGTTGGGAAGAATAACTAGATATATTTTCAGCCATTACAGTAGATTACAAATGCTAAATGGTGTATGTATGGGACTGGGCAAATGTTGCATGTAATTTGTATTTTTCACACTGTTATAAAATTATATTAATATGATACTGTACCCTAAGGCTAGGTCTATGCTAGACCAACAATTCATTCCTGGGCCCCTGAAGATACTTGTTTGGCCCTGCTGTCTATTTAGCCAAGGTGAGTCCCTCATTAACAAGTATGAAATTGCTCACATCTTCCCAGCCTAAGTGAGTTTTTCATTATTAGGAGCTGAAAAAAATACCAACAAATTTTATTATCAGTGGGAGTACTGGGTGGTTTGTATTGAACAGCGTACTTTCCCTTAGAATAAAATTGGCATAAATATTGGGAAAGCACTGTTTTTATTTCATTGAATTTGATAAATTTATTCTTAGTCCAATATAGGTAGAGTTTGACATTTTTCTTTACATCAAGAAAAAGATGTAGTATTTGTTACCAATGAGCTGCCAAAATGAATTTTGTTTTGGAACTAGATAGGTTATAAGTAAATAACAGAAATGTTTTGTAATATTTTAAGAACTGGAACTTCTTAAAAAGTATGAAGTATAAATTTATGTTTTAGGTCACAATTTGATTAAAAAATGATTATTAGATATGAAATGTTTTATTTTTGATACTTAAAAACCATGTGTTAGCAGAACAAAATTATCCCAAATTTCTCATTCTCTTGGTCTCACACTGGAAACCTGAGTATTTTTTTTTTCATTTTTACCTTTTTATTTTGAAATAATTATAGAAAAACCCAAGTTGTTTTTGATTCCATTTGTTCATATCCAGTCATTAGTTATTGCATATGTTTTTCTCTCTGTTCTTTTTTGCTTGGACAAGTCCAGATATGTTGAAATTGATTTTTCCACCTCTGTTCTTCCTTTTCTTCTATGCACCTATCAACTCATCAAATGGACACTGATTATTACTCTTCCATATAGAAACCTTCATTCAGCCTCCCCTAAACCCCTTTTATATTCACGAAGTTAAACAAATAACCCGTGAATGCATTCTTACTAAAAACTTAAAGTCTAACGAAGCACATGTAGTGAAAAGTGAAAGGCATACACAGATGTAACGAGTTAACTTGTTTTGCTGTGTATTCCTCTGTCAGTTTCCTACATTTATATAAGTTCTTCCTTTCCCACCCAATAAGGTGCAGACTCCTTAGCCTTTTGGTCACGGCCTGGACTTTGTGCCTCTGGCCTGCCTTTCCAGCCCTCACTCACAGTTCTGCAGTACGCCTAGCATTTTACCCGCTGCCTGCCTGCCTTCTGTTTGGAAACAGTTCCTTGTTCTTTACTCTTTGCTTTTACTCACTTTTCCCACTAATTATTTTCTCCTTCCACTTCGTCATTTTCCTGGTTGAATTCTTAGTCTTTCAAGGCCTGCCATCACAATATAAAATTTTCTGTACCCTCTCACAGTTAGAATTTTGGTCTTTGGGTCTTGATTTACATTCCTATACATTGATCCCATTTCGCTTTGTATTTTAGTTATTTTTTTATATTGAATTATTTTTAAGCTTCTTGAAGAGAGACTTTGTTACAAATTTCTTGCAGTGCATGGAATGGGCCTTTAAATACTTACTGAATGAGTGAATGATGAATGAATACAGTAAGAATGGTTGATGAAGGAGTGATAGATATTTTTGTTTTATCTTTTGTCAGCACCCACAACCCAAGATCAGACCCCAAGTTCTGCTGTTTCAGTTGCCACGCCTACAGTTAGTGTTTCAACTCCTGCTCCTACAGCCACACCGGTGCAAAGCGTTCCCCAGCCGCACCCCCAGACGTTACCTCCTGCTGTTCCTCATTCAGTACCTCAGCCAGCAGCAGCAATACCTGCTTTTCCACCAGTAATGGTACCTCCATTTCGTGTTCCCCTTCCTGGCATGCCAATTCCACTTCCAGGTAAGTCAATAGATTATAATAGTCTTTCCAGCTATGTTTTCATATTGTCAGTTAGTTTGTTCTCATGTGTCTGTTGCATTTGAAATTTGCCTTGAATCTCTCCTGTTTGAAACGTTTTTGAAAGATTCATGGCTAACTGCAATATTTTCTCTTCAGTTTTGGTAAATGTCCTTTTTGTTGTTGTTTACATGTCTTAAAATTAGAGCCACAGTTAAAGCTACACTTATTTTGGATAATGGCCTCAATGAATTAAAAATGATTATCTTGTGTAAATATGTTCTAAATGCAGTATTTTTAAGGGATTGAGTCCTGTGAAGTTGAGAGAACACAAGGCATTGATTGCTAACACAAGTTGAGTGATTTATATATTGTGCACGGTTCTAAGCACTTTACATGTAATAACTCATTTAATTTTTACAACCGTCTTATGAGGTAGGTACACAGATAGGTTTAATTACTTGCCCATGATCACATAGCTTATACGTGATGGTGTTTGGATTTGAGCCTGGGGACTCCAGATCCAAATACCATGCCTTTAATAACTATGTTATACTGGGAAGAAAATGTGAGTCACTTACCTGTAAAAAAAAAAAAAAATTAAAATTATCTAAAACAGAAACCAGAAGTTTCCCTTGTAACAATTGTGAAGAAAAGTATAATACACCATTTAAACATTTAGATAATTAGGGTGAATTCTTTTTCTTCCTTTTTTTGTCTTTGGGGAAATTATTACAACTAGAGAAGGAATGAAAAGATTGTGGAGTAGAATCCTTTCTGTAGGGATGAAACAGTGATAGTGTTGGGCATCCTAATTTGAATGCATTTGCTGTTGTCAAATATTTAATCCTTAATCCATGGTCTATTCTTCTAGTATTATAGCTGAAAAGATGGATACCATAGGTCAAGTTCACAGTGCTAGCTTGCAGCAAAGATAAATAGTACCTAGGCCTCTTTTCCCCCAGTTTTACATTCCTCCCACTATCTGTTGCTTCCACTCTGTTGCACTAGTTTCTGTGTAAGATTAGGATTGTGTACAGCTGCTTCTTAGGTTTGCACACGTTTTAATTATCGCTATTGCTCTAGTTGTCTTTTTCCTTGTGACCCCTTTGAAAAGAACACTTTCAGACAATTGTACCTTAGCAAGAAAGAAACCGGAAGTATCAAGAATTAGTGGGGTGTTTTTGTAGAAAAACCTTTTACATGTTGTTGATGTAGTATTAGGTAATTAAATGCCCAGTGTAATGTTTAGGAAACTTAAATTATTTAAAAATAAGAAGAAAACCAATACTGTTGGGTTGTCGGAAAAGTCATGACATATTTTTTCTTATGTTTTTTATTGCAAAAATGCGTCATGACTTTTTCGACAACCCAATACTAGGGACTACCCTTCTAAATTAAATTTAAGACAGGTAGCTGGATACTTGCCTCTTTAGATAAACTTTTTGTAGAAAACCAAGTGATAGAGGGACAATAGCGTGATATTCCTGATATCTTACAACCTTGGTCTGCTTTAAGGTCAAGGACAGCTTTAAGACCAGATCCTGGATTCTGAGTGATCTGAAGAAGCCTGGGTTAATTCTGTAGAGAGAAGATTGAGAGAGAGTGTAATAACATTATCAAAGTATTTGAAAGGCTATCATCTATAAAAGGTGTTAGTTTGTTTTAGAGGTTTTTAATAGGACCAGTGGGTGAAAGGTACAGAATAGCAAAATTCATTTCTATAGAAAGTGGAATTTTGTCACAATAAAATTTCTTCAGTTATAGCTCCATTTTGATGTCATGGTCTTTCTTCTTTACCCTCACCCCATCAAATGTTAGAACAGATGATGGTGACCATTTGATCAGATGAGGTGGTACTTAGGAAGTTTTGCAGGACAAGACATTTAATAAATGGCAGCCATGAATGACATTTTGTAGGTCAATTGGAAGAGAACTTGAGTTAGATAATCTGTAAAATTTTGTCTTAAGAGTACAAGATTCTTTGGAGAGGTAGCTAGTATTTTATAGAGAGTAATAAATACTGATTTATATGATAAGGCATCTTTGATATTAATGTTCATTTTCTCATTTTCCCTTTAATTCTGTCCTCCAGGGTGCTTTAGTGATCAAGACTTGCTTTTCTCTTCCCCAAACCTATGGTGTTAGGTACAGTGAGATCTATCCCTCTGGTTTTCCTTCTTAATATCATTTTGGCAGTAAGGTGAACAGGAGGGATTTGGGTGAAATTTATCTTGGAACCTCAGATTCTGTTTGAAATAGCAATGTGTGGCTCTAATGAGAAAGATTAAGGAAGGGATAGTCAAACAAAATGAAGGAAGGACTGGAAAAATTAGGTAAAATATCAGAGTAAGAGTTGGAATTGGGCAAAGTAAATTGGATTAGGATTATAAGATTTCTAAGGCTATAAAATCTTATTTGTAATTTCAAGAAACTTATTGTCAGTGACATGAGAATTATCCAAAATGCTAAATGGATTTAAAAAATTTCCTAATAGATTGTAATTTGAAGATAGTTATAGGAAAATTGGACAAATGCTCCCTTTAAAAAGTTTACAAATTTAGGTATGTGGTTATTTTGTGAGTCTTCCATGAGGTGCATGTAATAATTACCCACAGAGAAAACGTTAAGTTTATCTTTTTAGCATGAGAAGAAACATGTATGACCTTTCAGTGTGGTCTGTATGTTGACAGTCAAATATAAGAGTTCTGTGTTGGCCCCATTGATATTTAACAATGGCAGTTATGCCTAAATATGAATAATTTGACTTTCTTCTGGTTAAGTTATATAGTTAAAATTACTTTCTGGGGACTGGTTTTGGAGAACAGTCTTTGAGGATGAAGTTCATTTATTCCAGGAATTGAATTTCTGTTGCTGACTTAATAGGCTCAGTGGTCCTGCAGATGGCAGCATTTATACTAATTTAAATCTAATACATGCTGTGACTTTCTTAACCAAATGAATTTTTCCATTACTTTTTTTAAATGTTAAGGAAAAAAATTGTACATATAGCTTTACTCAGCATGCCTTTATGATCCAGTGCTTTTGTTTTAGTTTCAGAGTTAATAGAAAGTTTAGCTTTAATAGTCTTTATTTAAAGTAGTAATAAAGAAAAACAGCACTTTTCAAAAATTGGCAGTAGTTTTGTGTGTGTGTGCGTGAACATAGGTACATTATTTAAGCTGAGGGGTTTAATTTTAATTTTTGTCTCTGAATTAGGAGAAATTTCTTTTCCTATACTTTAGTGGGGAAAATAGTATATTTTTAATTTTCATTAGTACCAAACTAGGTTTAGTTTTTTTAGTCCAAACAAATAGAAAATAAAATTTAATTCCCTATCCTTTTCCCTTCATCCTTCAGCCTTTTCCTCTAAAAAAAATTTTTAATTTCACTCTTAATTTTTAATATTCTCAATTAATCAGCCTCAGTTTTCCAGCTTTTCCTTTCATTCCCTTTTTGTATCACCATTGTAATGCATCATGATGAGTCTTCATTCTTCTAAGAACTGTACGTAATTTCCATTCTTTAATACAAGTGCTACCTCTTTAGCTGCCTTAAGTGATAGAGGTTTCTGAAGCAGTCAACCCATGGAGCCATCAATGAGATGAAAGGGGCTGTGTTGTTCTTAACATGTTAGCCTGCTTCCACAGTGTCCCAAGCCCATGGCATTCCACAGAGCAGGCACTGAACATGGATCTTTTGTCATTAGTTGAATGCTACCCTCCTTTTCATCTTTGCCCTTTCTTTATTTACAGTATTATTTGCAGTGGAATATTTGGCCCCATCTCATACCTTTTTTTCCTCCCTTCCTCCCCCTCCCCCTTTTGTCCTATTTTATTCTTTTTCTATTTCTGCATGGTTATGCTCCATGCCTCAGCTTTTGCATGTAGTTCCCGCCGAGAAACAGCGCAGAGAAAGTGTCTTGTCAGTGTCATGCTGCATCTGCCTTTCACTGGTATCTAAGCAACAGCAGCATGGGTTTGATGTCCTGTGGGAAAATGTCCCACATGAGAACTTGTTAAGTATGTGTTAACGAAGGGGCTTTCCTTTGTTGAATTTCAACTCTTGAGACTCCTTCAAATATTATCAGAGCTGGTTTGATAAAACGGTAATTGATGATATAATTTAGAATTAGTTATAATTGGATTTGGCGCCACTTCCCACAAAATGTCAAACGAAAAGAAATTTTATTCTATTCTTGGTCTTTTTCATTGGAAGTAACATTCTAAATTGTAGTGGTAAATTATTTTCCTGAATCCCAGTGGTAGCCGACATAACAATGGCAGCTTTCCAACGTATGCTTGCTTATCCATTTTACAGGTGTAGCAATGATGCAAATAGTCAGCTGCCCGTATGTAAAGACAGTCGCTACCACCAAGACCGGTAATTTTTAAAACCATCTTAGTTTGTTTTGTCTGTAAGTTGGCATGGTAGTGAATGTTGTTGTTTATCCTTTTATTTATTTATTTTTTGCCCAAGTGAGTGGATTTTTTTATATTTTTCTTTTTAACGAGCAGTATAAATGCAGTTGTCATATTTGGCCAACACTTAATTATCCCAATTGCCTGTAGTATTAGCTTCTTTGGTTCACAAAAGCAAATAAGGTCAGATCACTTTATATCTTAATTTTTGTAATAAGTGTAAACAACTTCATTCTCATATTCATAACATTTAATTTTATTTTTTGATACGTGTTTTTAAGTTAAATATAAAAAAATCATTTCCATGTGTAAAGTGATGTGATTATGCTTGCATGCCAGTGAGTATATGTGTGTGAATATTTGTGTGTATAGCATAAATTTATATTTCAAGGGGATTGAAGATAACTACCCGAAACTTTAAGTTGTATAGGATTTGAGGTTGTTTTTCAATTTTGATTCACATATTCTTAATTATTTATGTAATATCAGCTTTTTTAGCTATCTTGTAAAAATACAAATTGTGGCTTATTTTAAAAATAGAAGAAACTTTGTTTTCTTTTAGGAAAAGACTAAACCGACTGACAGAGTTATAGGGCTATCTGTCTTCATCACTTAGTATTTAAAGTAGATTTGATAATAAACTCAGTCATTTAACTTAAAACTGAGAATTTTATTCATACCCTTTTAGGTACCTTAGAACTTGAAAATGATTTTGCCTCAGGAAACATACTTAGTAAATATGCTTGTTGCTTTTATGTCATTAGAATTTGAGAAATTTTTTATAAAAATATATTTCTATTAATAAGTAGAGAATATACCAGGATTTTTAGAATTTATTAGGTTAAGACTTATTAGGTGTGACCCAAATTTCTGACTGTTCTTATGGTACTTCTTGGGTAGAATTTCTGAATTGAAGTGAATTTAGACATTAGAACTAAACCAGGGAAATATATTTAAGTAATTAAATCATATTTTATGTGATTTTTTTTATTCCAACTGGTTCATTCATTTATTAATATTTAATAGGAAGACTTAGCCCATATTTAAAAGTTTTATTTTGAATTGCAATTTGATCTTGGGTCTAACTTTTGTTCCTTCTTCTTTTAGGTGTGTTGCCAGGAATGGCTCCTCCTATTGTGCCCATGATCCACCCCCAGGTCGCTATTGCAGCTTCACCTGCTACCTTAGCTGGAGCAACAGCAGTTTCTGAGTGGACTGAATATAAAACAGCAGATGGGAAGACATACTATTACAATAATAGAACATTAGAATCCACCTGGGAAAAACCCCAAGAACTAAAGGAAAAAGGTATAGTTTTAATGATTTGGTGGGACGTAGTATAAACTATGATATTATAAACAGACAACTATTCCATCTGGAGAAATTAAATTATACATCCATGCAAATATATATATTTTTTTACTGGTGTCAGGAATTGCATTATTATTCTATTATATAATTGGTATCCTCATTGAGGTTGATAGTACTGATCAGAAAGGAATGTATGTATTGTATGTGTTCTGAAGTAAAAAAATTAAGCCCTTGGAGTCTTGGTTGAAGAAGACATAATTTTCTATACCACAAGTCCCAGTTTCTGTTGATAAGTACCTTAGTATCTTACCCCTTTCAGCAAAATGAATGATTGCTACAGTTGATACATGCATGACCTAAAAGACCTTTTCTCTCTGAAATCAGTAGTTCTTTTCTAGTGACAGTTTCCTGATTGGTATATAGCAAGGTATGTGAAGTTGAGCGTTGTGTTAGATTCAAATGAATGATATTACAAGGAAGAACGTTGTATCTTTGTGGTTAGTAACTCGAGTTAGTAACTACATATCTTATCCATAATATCTTAACTGTTCGGTCCCTGAAAGTTCTTGGAAAATTACATCAAAACCATTGAGTGACATGATCTTAACTTTTTACATAGAAAAATTAGAGGATAAGATGAAAGAGCCAATGAAAGAACCTTCTGAAGAACCTCTGCCAATGGAGACGGAGGAGGAGGATCCGAAAGAAGAGCCAATAAAGGAGATCAAGGAGGTAACCTGGGAGCCGCATAGACTGTTGGGTACAAGTTTCTTGTAACTGAAAGTCCATTGGATCCAGTTGCAGATAATTGTTATAGATCTGATCTCTGAAAGGGTTCTTGGAAGTTTCTAATTCAGTGTTTCCTTTGAAAGTTTTCATTAAATTACTTCTTAGACTGAATTGAGGCCCCAAGGAAGAAAGCTCCCTAGACCAGAGCTTGGACCTGACCTCAGTCTCCTATTTATAGACTGGTACATGTTAAAATTATAAGTACAACTTCATATTTGGGGAATGGTCGTCATATTTTATCTGTCCTCTCCTGGCGTGGACTAATTGGTATGCATCACTAAAAGCTGTGGTTTTTGGAAGCTTCCTTTATTCAGTGAGGGAACAATGGTAGTCATGTTTTATGTGAGGAAATTAGCAAAAAAAAGAAATGACCTTAAATGAAAAGGTCTTTAATTTTGTAGACTGGATTCCCTATTTCTGTTCCTAAGCAGATGGCTAGTGAGCTTGTAAGATAGAACCGTCTGCTATTGTGGAATTCGGTTCTGTCCAGGAGGCAAGGATTGAGAGTGTTCTTAGAGATTTCTACTCAGCATCCCCCTCCCTATGCCAGCAGCAGACCTTATGTTGGTTGCACTTGGAGCCATTTGCAGTGATGCTTGTGTTTGTGGTACAATTTTATGATGTTAATTAAATGGGAGTAATATTTCTCATAGGAGCCCAAAGAAGAGGAGATGACCGAAGAGGAGAAGGCTGCCCAGAAGGCAAAGCCAGTAGCTACCACCCCTATTCCTGGTACTCCGTGGTACGCAGTTGGCTTATTTATTCATGTGTTATACTAGATTGTTACATGGTTTATCCTACAGAAAGCAAGAGTACTTTAAAAATGTATGTCAAATGTACGTTTTTACCGAATGTTTTGGTTCTTGTTTGTTGTGTTTTGGGTATTCAAACGTAAAACTCAGTTGCTTCGGTGTCTTCCTTTCCCCCTCCATTTATGTTTCTCGTTCATAATTTCTTCTTTTGTTTGGTTCTTCCTCTCTCCATTAGCGCTTTCTCTCCCGTTCCTGCTCCAAATCTCCAAATCACTCATTCCATATTCAGTCCGCACATTGTAATGAGTTGACTTATGATCTATAGATTCCCTTTCTACTTGTATTTCTTACTCTTTCTTCCTTGTTTTTGTTACAGAGAAAGTAAACATGTTTGTTCTGTAGAGTCCTACAGTCTGCATTTTGTTATTGCATCCCGTGATACTGTTTACTAGAGCCCTCCATTCCTGAATTTCCTACAAACTAGCAAACAGATACAGAGATGTGATCAGCTTCAGGCTTGATCTTTTTGGCAAGATTAGTTCATGGTGGTGATGTGCCTTGGGATGCATCTGGTTGTCCCTTTTTGTGTGCGTGCGATGTTAGCCGCCATTGCTGGTTAATATTGCCTAGAGCAGTGGTTTTCAACCAGTAATAATTTTACCACTTCCTCCCTTCCCCCCATTAGTGGATGTTTGGTAATGTCTACAGACATTTTTGGTTGACATAACTTGGAAGATGTTAATGTTAATAACATCTAACATCTAGAGGGTAGAGGCAAGGGATGCTTCTAAACAACCTACAATGCACAGGACAGCCCCTATAGGAATTAATTAGTTGGTTCAAAATGTCAAAAGTGCTGAACTTGCAAAACCTGGCCTGGCTCCATTAAATCATTAAGGATTGAAAGTGGTGGTAATGTATTTCTGTCCTTCCTTTTCCATTTATTAACTGGAATACTTAGAGATGATTCCCCTTAGCAACATTGGTTACTTAGAGGTACAAATTGTATAGTAAAGAAAGGATATACTTACTGGTTTTCAGAATAATGAGTTGGCTTGAGTAATACAAATTCATAGATTTAAATGTATTTCCTATGTTTTTTTATCCATTGCAGTTATCCTATTGATATTCAGTTTCATCTTTGGCTAGGTGAAGCTTCTTAAGGTTGGCTCCTGAGGGTTTTTTTGTTACAACCCTATCTTTAATACCTTCTTTGCTTTCTGCTCTTGCAAGATGTCTCTGGCTTACCTCATGTATTTCCTGCCTCAGATCTACATTCAGCCATTTCTCCAAGGAGCCCAAGGTTTCTTTTTGTGGAAAGTGGCATTGATAGGCTTCAGTGTGGGATCTAGAGATGGTTGTTACTACTGATGAGTCATTTTTTTTTTTACCTCTTTGGTAGACACAAATGGAAGATACATGCATTTAAAGGTATATCATGAGTTCATGCCATTACTTGCAATTCAGGTCTACTACAAGATTTTTACTGAATCTCGTTATATCTGTGTTAGTTCAGTATCTCCTTTCCTGCTGAAAAATCCTGTTTTTGAGCGATAGCAACATAATTACTCATTTACTTTTCTCACAAACAAGTCACAGAACAATACCAACAGTATCAATAACAGTGTGATTACTGAAGACAGCTTAAGCTCTTTTCCCCAGTTATTTTTATGTTTTGGGTGTATCGCTATAGGAATGTTATAGTCATAGTAGGTTTTAAAGGATTTTGGAATATTTGTTTTCAAATATTCCAAATTTGATAACACAGGCTCATTTTTAAACATAATTATGCAGAATATTTACCTGGTTCCAAAACCAAAGTTATGAAAATAGTCTGTATTCAAAGAATATATTCCCTAGGTTGTGGTTTCTCTGAGTATTGTACATGAAAGCTAGTAACCAGCCCCAAACCCCACCAGTCTGGGCTTCATGGACCTCATCAACTTTCAGACTTGGACCCTTAGATTAGTAAGATTTTCTTTTGGAATTTAATTATTGGTTCTCTTCATCTGTTTCTTTTTATTTTTCTGGAACATTTGGAATTTGCATGTCAAGTCTCTTGTTTTTTGTTATCTGAGTCTCTTTTTCTCTTGTTTTATATCTATTGTTTTTGGGCTTTGCTTTTGTCTTTTCTAATTGATCTGACACAACATAGGAAAGAACAATGAATGCATAAAAGAATACAATATGAAGGACTTATATGAGGTAAATAGTTGTAGAATTCCACCTTCACCAAACCTCTTCATTAACAAAAGTTTGGTACCTATGCCTTCTGGACCTTTTGCTATATTGTGTTTTATGTACATAGAGGTGTGTGTGTGTGGCATATGTGCACATTATAGTGTCCTTAAAAATATTAATACATTACTTCTTGGTGATTTTTACTAAATAGGTCTCAGAAAATTTGCAGTTTTAGTACATATAAAGCTACTTGTGATGGCATAGTTTTCTGTTGTATGAAAATGCATAATTTTCCTACAAATGGGCGATTAGGTTATCTTCCATTTTTTGTGTGGTGGTGGGGTGTTCGCCCTAGGCATTATAAATATTGCTGTCTAGGACACCGTATACATGTTTTCTTTCTGAATTTATTCAAGCATTTCTGTTTGATATGCTGAATCAAGAGATACAGCTATTTAAAATTTTGGTGGCCATTGTTTAAATAGACCTTGGAAAAGGTTTTTTTGGGGGGCGGAGGGGCTGTACCAGTTAATAGTCTCAACAACAGCTTGAGTACCTGTTCTCCTGCACTCACCAGTCTAGGATTATTCCTTTTAAATCTTTGGTAACCTGATTAAAAAAAAAAGGGTTCTTAGTTTTCCAGGATGCTGGTATAATTGAACCTTGTTTATTGGCTGTGGATTGCCTCTTCACTTTTTGTTCATCTCTTTATGGATTTGTCTTTTTCTTAATGATATGTGAGAGACTTTTTCATGTACATGTATTACAATTTCTATCTTTTTGTTATATATGTTTTATATTTTGATGAGGTCAAATTTATTGACCTTTTTATTTATAGCTTCTGCGGTCTGTGTCTTAGGAAGCATTCCCTGCCCCCCAAAAAGCAACTATATATTTTTAGTGCTTTTACAGCCATCTGAGTACAGGTATCCCCTGCTTTTTGAAAGTTTGCCTTATGCTACTTTACTTTCATGAAAGATCTACATTAGTACTTGTTTTTTTGCTAACTGAAAGAAATCCATAGAGGATTTTTGCTTTAATGAAAAAAGACTAAAAGCAAAAATAGCGTTCAGCATTTGTTTTGCAGTGAGCCCTTATAGAGGCAGTACAGACCCCCAGCAGCTAGAGTGGCCCACCAAGCTCTGTCCTGGAAACTACTCTTGGCATCTCAGCATCAAGTCGCCCACAGCTTTGAACTGTGTGTCTGTGAGCATCTGTGCTTATCTTGATTTATTTTGTGCGTCAGGTAGCAAGGTGTGTCCTAAGGTATCAGAAAAGCCTAAGAGAGCTTGCAAGGGTCTTATGCTTAGTGTGTAAAACTGGACGTAATTAAGCTCCAGTTAAGTTCCAGTCATGGTGAACAAAATAGACATTGTGTATATCTTGAATTTTGGGTCTGGGAAACGCTCAGAAATTTTCCATATAAATTAATGGTAATTGCTTCTTTGCTTTACAGTATTTCAGGTTACAGAAGGTTTCATAGGAACACTCTACTTTTGGATAGCAGGGGAAACTTGTGCACGAAAGATAAACCACCTTAAAAGCTCGCTCAAGGGTGTGAGCTCTGAACAGCAGGGTCGCTGTTTCAATTCCCGGCCTGAGCTGAGCTGCTGCTGAGCTGCCAACAGGTGGCAGGATGGCTCAGCTAAAAAAAAAAAAAAAGATAAACCACTTGTCCAAATTATTTCCAAGTTCTATCAGTGAAGGAATTTATTATCAGTCTAGCTTTAATGCCTAATTTATTATTTTATATGTCTTATAAAATGGATAAATGCTAACTTTAAACAAATTGTGTAGCCAAGGCAGGGTATGCCACTTCATTTGGATAATTAAATTTTTATTAATCTCTTGATATCTTCAAATATTGCTCTTCAGATTATTTTCTTTAGAGATAAGTTAAGAAGCTGAATGTAAAACATGAAGTTTCATGTTTCTCTTACCTGTATTGGGAATTTTTTCTAAAGGTCACAGACCAATTGTAATTTTTTCCATTGCTTGCTAAGATTGCATCACACAGATTTAGCTTGCATTTATTTGTATAGTCCCGTACAAAGTACAAAGTGAGGGCTGCCTGTATTTGCCATGCTTTGTTTGTCTGGAATCTCTGCTGGGTTTTTATGAAAAATTTATCTTTAACTTCTAGTCACTTTTATATTTACTGAGAATGGCACAGGGCTTCCCTTGCTCCCTTTCTTCTTTTCCTTCTTTCCTGTCTCTCTCTTTCTGTCTCTTTCTCTCTTTTTTCTTCTGCTGTGTTTCTATAGTTATTTTTGTTTTCATAGCTTTTTACTTCCAATATTTTATTATGAAAAAATTGAAACATACAGAAACATTGAAAGAATGTTTCTAACAGTGAATACCATATATTGACCACTTAGAATCTACTGTTAATATTTGTCATATTTGCTTCGTCACTTATCTGTCCATCCCTTAATGCATCTGTTCATCAGTCTTATTTTTTTGATATGTTAAAATTTGCAGACATCACTACATTTCACCCCTAAGTACTTTATTATGCATGTTATCAGCACAGGGCAATTTTGTGACACAACTTTTTGTCCATAGTTTTTCTGTTAATTCTGAAATGTCCTGACATCTTCACACTCCATGTTTGCTACTAATACCATTGGCACTGTATTAGCACACTTTTAGGTATTTTGAAGCCAACATGAGTTAGAACAACATTTCCATCTTATGTGCTGCTATTGGTATAGATCAGTGTTTTAGAAGCTGGCATAGAAAATTTAGACTTAGTTTTTTTCCCCAGTAACCACCTAACAAGATGGCTTAAGTGTCTCATAATGGTTCTGATGGAAGAATTCTGCACTGAATATTTTGTTGAAAATGTATAACACTCACCCTACCCCAAAACCCCTACTTCAAAAGTTAAGTGTAAAGAGAGGTCAAAACTAGAAGCATTTTGTATTCTGTAGGATCAGTAAGCCTTAGGTTTTGATTGGATTTCATGACAAAAAAAGGGATAGCTAGCCCATTTCCATAAAAGATTTTAGTTTGGTGGTACATTATACATTTTCTCTTATTTTTATTTGTGTTACTAAGGTATACGTGAAGTAAAATAGGCTGCACATACTTAAAGTTCATTACCACAATCAAGACAGACATTTTCAGTGCCCTCAAAAGTTTGCTTGTGTCCCTTTGTTGTCCACCCTCCTTCTATCCCCATCCCTAAGGATCTCTCTGCTTTCTAGTGTAGATTACTTGGCATTTTCTAGGATTTTATATCAGTAATCATATAGTATATACTTTTTTCTGTCTACTTTCTTTTTAAAAAAATATGAAAGTTTTATTGAGATACTTCACATAACCATACAATTTACTCATTAAAGAGTACAACCTAATGATTTTTAATATATTCAGAGTTGTGCTACCATTACCGTAATCAACTTGAGAATGTTTTTATTACCCTCCCAAAGAAACACCATGCTCATTAACAGTCACTCCCCATTTCTTTTAATATTTCAGCTTCCTTAGCTCTAGGCACTAGTCTACTTTCTGTCTAGATTTGCTTATCCTGGATTATTTCATATAAATGGAATCCTTTAATATGTGCCTTTTGTGATTTCGCTTAGCAATGATGATTTTTGAGATTTACCCATGTTATTGAATACATCAATAGTTTGTTCCTTTTTATTGCCGAGTAGCAGGCCTTTATCTGTGCCGCAGTTTGTTTATCCTTTCACCTGCTGATGCACGTTTGGGTTGTTTCCAATATTCAGCCATCCCATGCCTACATGTTAGCCTGTTTGTAATAGCCAAAAACTGGATCTAGCCCAAGTTAATTACAACTAAAACCGCTATGAACATTCTTAGGGACACATATCTTTTTGTTTCTCTGAGGAAATAAATAGGAGTGTGATGCCTGGATTATTTGGTATAGTATATGCTTAACTTCCTAAGAAACTGTCCAATTGCTTTCCAAAAAGTCCTGCCATTTTGGAATTTCCATCAGCAGTGTCTGAGAGTTCTAGTTGCACCATCCTGTTTGGGGTTCACTGAGCTTCTTTAATATTTATGTTCTTTACCAAATTTGGAGATGTTTTTGGCCATTATCTTCAATTTTTTTTTTGCCCAATACCCTCCTCTTCTGGGACCCCAGTGCCATGTGTATTAGGCATTTGATTTCCTGAGACTATTCATCCCTTGGCTGTCTGCGCCCTCCCAGTGTTCAGATGGGATCGTTATTGATCTGTCTTCTAGTTCACTGGCTGTTTTCTTCTTTTATCACCATTCTGCTCTTGAGCAAATCCAGAGAAATCGAATTTCAGTTGTATTTTTTACTTGTAAAATTTCCTTCTTAAAAACAAAAAATTTTTTTTAAACAATTTCCATTTCTGTGCTGAGAACTCCTGTCTTTTCATTCATTTCGAGTTTGTTTTTGTTTATCTCATGAAGCCTAGTTATAATTGCTGCTTTAAAATCTTTGATTATTTCAACAATAGAAGCTTTGTCTGATAATTCCAACATCTAGGTCACCTTGGGCTTGGCAGCTTGGCAGCTGTTGATGGACTTGATTATTTGGCCTAAAAGCCTGGTTTCTGCTGGAGTTTAGTTGCCTGTGCTCCTGGCACCTAAGGGCCACCCTCAGGGCGGAGATTTGAGGGAGGAGAAATGGGAAGTTTATACTTGCGCAGTGGTTTCTCTAAATTTTGACTCTCCTCCATACTTTTTTTTTTTTTAACTTTACAGAGTCCTCACGTAATTGTTTTTTTCTATTTTGTCTGAGTTTCTGGTTGTAATTTATAGGAGCAGTGAGCTGTAGTGGACTGCAGTGCCACAGCTCAGTTGGTACTTCTATTTTTTATACCAGACAAAATCAGATATGAAGTCTTCATTAAGGTTGCATTTGAGTATGTAATTCTGATTTGATAAGAGATATTAAGACTTGTGTAATAGGTAGGGTACCTGTTCTTTTAGCTTTAGAATGCTTAGTTGCATTATCACTTGTTGCCATTCAACACATCCTTTGTGATAGGTTAAGCGTAGCATTCTCAAGTTGAGTGTGCCTGACCAAGTTCCTGTGCATTCTAAACTCTGATCACAGTCGCTTTGCTTTTCCCGGTTTTCTCAATGTGTTAAACTGCAGTTTGAACCTTAGGCAGCCAGCTTTCTTTTGCTCTAAAAACCTTGTTTGGTTCTCTATAAATAACTTAGTAATATAAACATATCCTTCTTCATGACCACCGCCTCCCCTTTTGACAGGATGACAGTAAAAGACGTAGCTATAAAATATGCTCCATAACTAATGTAAGGTAACGCCGCTGTTTGAATCAATCCTTAGGTGTGTTGTTTGGACTGGTGATGAGCGGGTCTTCTTCTATAATCCTACCACCCGTCTGTCTATGTGGGACCGACCTGACGATCTGATTGGAAGGGCAGATGTTGATAAAATTATTCAAGAGCCCCCTCATAAAAAAGGAATGGAAGAAATGAAGAAACTAAGTAAGTTTTAAATTAGGAATTTATCTTCTAATGTTAACATTCTTTTAACATTTCGACAGAAAATGTGAGGCCGTTTAGAAAAACGCTCCATTTTCAAGGAGTATAAGAAATTTGAGAAATGGAAAGTAGACTGCTATGCTAGTTTGAATTCAGTATTAGTGATATAAAAAATCGAGAATTTGGATAAAAAATTTTTTTGTAAAATGTTTATATATGTTTTTTTATACTTGTTGAGACTTTCAGTTAATACAAGATATGCTGGTACTGCTGATGTTTGCCCTGTACCTATTAACAATACTAAAGTGCTCCTCAGTGAGCCTTTTATCTCCTTTTGTGATGCATTACATATTTTCTGAAATAAAACGGAGAGTATTTTGAAAATACTTTGTTTACTAACATTTTTTAAAATACAAAAAATTTTGAAAATACAAAAGCTTATTTATATTAGGCTTTTAAGCTAGATGAAATTTAGGGAAGGCAAGCCTTATTCCTGAGAATAGAGAGACACTTAAACCTTATTAAAAGATGATCTTTAATCTACCTCATGTTCAGACAGCATTCTAATATATATAATGAAGACAATAATTTGTTCTAATTTTTAGTGCATATTTTTTATTGGTAATTTGCCCTTGTATTGATATGTGTTTGTGTAGAATCCCCCCATGTAATGTAGAAGCATAATAAATGAATCATTTTATACATACTTCAAATGAAACAAACCCTAATATATGTCACTTAAAATAATTGAGAACTTTTCATGGATTGTGGATATGTGGTACTCACATTTTCTGCTTACAAGTGATTTCTAAATCAGTCAAATGTTGCCTACTTGGTACTGAAGATACGAGGCACCAGCTTGTCCAGTAATATGTTTTATAGCTGTGATACTGACAATACTTTATAACCATAGTGTTGAATTATGCCCAAAAGTATGTGGTTTGCTTCTGTTTTTCTGAATTTATTTTCAAATATTCAATCCATTTATTTGATAAATACATGCGTCAAAGAATCATTTCAAAAGACTTGAATATTTAAAGGGAGGATTAGTAGAGAAGGAAATAGAATCGCCATGCTTTAATGTTTTATAAAGGAGTGCATGTTATGGGTTGGATATTTTATGTAAACAGGAATTTTTTAAAAGAAAAGATTGTGTAATATATGCATGTAACTATTCATAATAACATTTGAAATATTTTTGCCAGGGCACCCAACCCCGACAATGCTATCCATCCAAAAGTGGCAGTTCTCTATGAGTGCAAGTAAGTGAAGTAAATGTAAATTGTAGCTTCTTTGTAGTAACTGTTAAACAGGCAAGTGTTCTTGTAGTGGTTAGCAGAAGGATTCACGCCTAGATATTTCAATTGCCTGCTTATTTTTATTCTGACAGAGATTAATTAAATTTTATCTTGCAGTTAAAGAAGAACAAGAATTAATGGAAGAAATGAATGAAGATGAACCTGTTAAAGCCAAAAAACGGAAGTAAGTAATAATTTAGTTTATGTAGTTCAGGTAGATGTTAGTTTTTAAAGGTTGATTAGGTCACAGTCAGTTCTTCGATTGGGACAGGTAATGTGTATGTTGTTAGGAGACAGAAGTGATGATTGTTCTCATTAAAAAGCTTTGCTTTAGAATGTAGAAATGGTGTCCCTTCTGTTGCTAGATTTGCAAAAGATTTGGTTATTCAAATATATATTATTAAGCCAACTGACATTTTAGGAATTAATTGATAAATCATTTTCAGACATTGATTAGGCCTTGGATTTTATAAAAAGTAAATATCCTCCCTAATGTAGACCCCAACAGACACCATTCCAGAAGTCTCATGACTGCAGACACAGACTTCTCTCTTCTTTTTACATACTTATCACTTCCCTAGCCCTTGAGTCTGTGGTCATTTTACCCTCTGGAAAAGAAACCCAGGTGCTTAGAAAAGTGTCCTGAGAGAAAGAGACTGTTGCTAAGTGGAAGCATTAGTTTGGCCAGTGCTCTGTAGAATTGGGTAAAATATGAATGTTACTAATTATGGGGGTGGAAGGGTGGGGTAGTGGGTGTTTGGGGCGGAGGGCAATGGGACCATTATTTAGCAGCAAAAAGGAAAGTCTGAAGACGTTAGGGACTGGTCGATCTTAGTCCTTATCTGAAAAGGGCAGATTGAATGCAGCCAAATTACGGCCAAGAGATGAAAGAGATGAGTAAGACAAACCCTGTCAAGGGTGGTTCTTTCTAAAAAATTTCTTTATTGGCAACGATGTTAAAGAAGTTAAGATATTAAAGAGAGTCACTCAGTAACCACAGTCACACAGCTATTTTTATTTTTGTAGTTGACTTTTTAGTTCTTGACCAAATGTATAAGTATTTTTATTAGTTGTAATCAACTGATTTTGTGTTCTTTTAAAAAAAAAACTAGAATAAGACATTTGTTTTCTTAATTATTATAAATGACTGTATTCATTCTGTTTATGTACCATAATTTTGGATGTTCCTACAATGTTAAACTTTTAGGTTGTTTTTAATTGTTTGTTCTTATAGACAACTCTGTAAGGTTTTTAACTGCTTTTATCAGGAGAATGTCAAAGAAGTCCTTAATGTGGATTGCCCGAGCTTCTCTATTTAGGTACAAAGCTAAAAGCCTATTTTTCCTGGCTTAGTTTTTCTTTATTTCTTTTATTGAGATAGATAGTGATAGTTTGTATTGTGACATTTTCATTTAGTATAATTCTATAAAGATTATTTGTTTTCATTAGTTATATTTCTTGGTTGTCTTTTAACTCTAACTATTTAAGTAGTTCTTAAATAAATTATAAGAGGGTATATATTGTTGGGCACATTGCTTTTACCTGTTTGTTTTGTGCATATCTTAGGTCACAGACTATCTCGCTAAGTTCCTGCAGGTCACGGACTATGTCTTCTATTTCTTTTGATTCATACCCTAAGTTAATTACCTCTCACCATATTTATAGGTTAGCCTTAGTTTCATTTAAATTTCCTGGGCTACCTTAACTTTTGAATTTTCTGATGTTGTTCTGTTTTCCTAATTCCCTTAAGTTTACATAAGGAATATGAGCCAATTTTATTTTTATACTTAGCAGATCATATTTAAGAAGGAATATCTGTTCAGACACACCCAGCTATTGAATTACTTAATTATTTTTTTGATTATTCATATGAACGGGCCTCCTTCATAGTGCAGATATTTGAGAGGTGACTCAATATCGTGTTCACAATCTCCCTTGAGTACCATACAGCAACAGGGTTGCCCTTAGCCCTGGGGTGCATTTTTGGAGGAGCAAGAAGTAGTTTAGACATTGATGAACAGTTATAATTCCACCTCACTACTCCTGGGCCTATGTTGCTCTCTGGGACCTGTTCTTCAACTTAAATCTCAACTTATCACCCAGAAAGTGAGTAAAAAAAATGTCAGGTAGGTAAGGTGTATATCTCACATATCTACTTGGCCAAGTTTGTAGATATTTTAATTTTATTTTCAAAATAAGTATTTGAGATTACTAAGACATACCAATTTTTATTAGATGTAAAAGCTGTATTGTGCATTTATAATGTAAAACATTTTGGAGAATACTGTTTTTCCTGTATTATTTCAAGAACTAAAAATTATATTCTGTGCTGTTTAATTCTCACACATAAAGTTTTACTGCAATGTGAGATAAGGTTTTTGTTTATTTTTTTTTAAGTAAGGTAGTTCATTTTGTGTATCAACTAGTGTCAGGGAGAGACAGCACAGCAAAGGTATATTAATTTCCTACAATGTAGCCATTGTAACATCATTAGAAGTTCATTGTAACTGTATTATTAAAAATGAAAGTTGCTTATCCCTTAGAGCTCATTTGAAACCCTCAGTATAATTTGTTTTTGCCAAAAATATGCTGCTCAGTAGTGAGTCTTGAATGTTCCATTCATTTTAAGATTTTAGTAAGATTCCTTATTAGTATTTTGTCAGTTGATGCCTTGTGTTTTTTATTTTTTATAGGAGAGACGATAATAAAGACATTGATTCAGAGAAAGAAGCTGCAATGGAAGCTGAAATTAAAGCTGCCCGAGAAAGGGCCATTGTCCCTCTGGAGGCCCGAATGAAGCAGTTCAAGGACATGCTGCTAGAGAGAGGGGTCAGAAAACAATCTTTGGGGGAGATATTTCTGTTTTGTATAAGTAATATAAATATGTCTTGCTAAAAGGTCAAATCTAAGGTTAGTGCTCTTGTTGTGGGGGGGGATAAGGGAAGCCTATCAAATTACTGTTCTTTTTCAGACAGCCTTTTTCTTGGCTAATTATATCATGTTTAACTAAATGCCATTTACTATTCTTTTAAGTACAAATAACATTTTAACATTTATTGGGTCATTAAATTTTGGTGAGTAATGTAAGACGAGTATTAACATTGCGGAGTGGCGGACTACCCGGGATAGGTAAGGTATATGCGATTCTTCCTTTAATATCTCCGGAATGGATTATGATTAAAGGAGAACTGGTACTTTGTGCTATTGTTATTAATGAAGCTTAATTGAGAAGAAATTTCAACGTTTTGTTTATGTGCACAGACTCATTTGAATAAGTAAAATTCTCGACTTTAAATCAACATTGTTTACAAGATTGGAGCAGGCGTGGGAAATCAAAATACAGCTCTTCAAGGCTTTTTCTGATGTGCTGATTTTTAAAATGTCACACAGTAGTGGTTATTTTAATGAGTAATTAAGTGTGTGTTATTTCTATATAATATAGAGATGTTCAGAGCCAATTAGTGTGGACATTTTTGCTATTGCTAGCCTCCCACTGCTTGTCATTTATTAGTGATGGAAACTTCAGGATGGTTTTTATTATGTCCCCTTTTTAAGCAGATGTCCTGTAGATTTCAAGTAAAATTATATGACCTTTATGTTTTTAGAGTCAACTTAATTATGAGAGCAATGCATTTTTTATTTTAAAGGTGTCTGCTTTTTCCACGTGGGAGAAGGAGTTGCACAAGATAGTGTTTGATCCTCGGTACTTACTTCTCAATCCTAAAGAGAGAAAACAGGTAAAAGGAAAAGAATGTTTAAGACATGTATACCACTTGCCACTATAATTTTTAAATCGTAAGGAATAAAGTACCACACTTTTTTTTTTTTCCTTTCCCTAACGTATCTTAGAGCTCAATCTTGTTTCCTAGAGCACAGTTGTCCTCTAGGTGGACATTTCTGTCTTGGATGTTTTTGCCCTTATGGATGTGGTTATTGCCTCACAGACTCTTTTCCTTATGGCCTCATACACACTAAGGTTAGATCTAAGAAGATTTTAAAGTTCATTTCATGTGCATTTATTTATTTGTTTATTGGGCAAATGATGCAAATTGAGGGTAGAAAAATGGCAAAATATAGATGAGTAAGAAGGAAAAAAAGACCACTTAAAATTCTACCTGAGAGAGAGAGAGAGAGAGAGAGAGTCTCACACACACTACACACACAAAGTCCACATCTATGGTGAAAATGTCTTTTCACCATAAACTTTGAGAAATGGTGGACGCTTCAGGGTCTCTGCTGAACTAGAGTTGTTTTGTGACTGAGTTGCCATTTATTCCCTTGATTCAGAACAAGGTATCTCGTGGTGATTGCGTCTTTCTCTAAAGCACTACACACTTCCAGCTTACGTAATTTCTGAATTACCTGGATCACCCGACAGTGATTCCTGTAACTTGGTATGTTGAGCCACTGGCTGTAGTGTTGGTGAGCCTTACGATTTCATTTGGCAACAATAGTGTCCATTTTCCATGTTTATAATTTAATGGTTGGAATAATTCTCTACACAATTTGTACATGAAGGTCTAACCATAGAGTTTTATGAAAAGAGGAAATTTACAGTCTGCCAGGCATGTATTTTAGTACTTGTAATAGAATGACATGACTTTCCAAATATATTTACATCTGCATTTCAAACACAGCAGTCTTTAAAAACAAAAAGAAAAAAAATGACTGTGTGATGGTCTTTCTCACTTGAGTTGATGGCCCTTTCAAAACCTGTTCATCAGCCTTAAGTCTTAACTTGTCCCCACTGTAAATTTCAAGTCTGTCAGCAAATCTACCTCTAAATGCAGCTTACCATTTTCCCCACTAACACCCTGATTCAAGCCACCGAGCTTCATCTCGGAACTTAGCGGAGCCCCTCATTGACCTTGCTTCCCTCCATTCTTGCTCCTGTGTAGTCGAGTTCTTTTTCCACACAGCAGCCAGACTAATTTTGAAGTTTAAGTGACAAATTAAGGCAGTGTTCCCTTGTTTAAAATCTGTGCAGTGCTTCCCATTTTATTTAAGATAAAATTGAAACGCTGTACCATGGCCAATAAGATTCTGCATACACACGTGCCTGCAAACTTTTTGAAGCTCTTTACATTTATTCATGCTAGTCACCCTGGCCTAGACAGGCCTTGAACAAGCCAGGCACATGCTGGTATTTCCTATTCCCTCTGCCTGCAATGTTTTCCCCAGGCGTTTGCATAGCTGGCTGCATCATTTCATTCAGGTACTTGTCCAGGTGTCTTCTGATCAGCCTGTCTCTTTGCCTCCCTTACTATCTCATAGCATTCATAGCTGTACTTATCGAAAATTATCTTATCATCTGTCCCCTCGGGCAGAATATAAATTTTGTGAGGGCAGGAACTTTGTCTCATGCATTGTTCTAAGCATACTTCCTAGAACAATGCTTAACCTAAATATCCTTGAAGACTTACTTTAAAACTTTTATAACTTCACTTAAACTTACTAACTTTTTTTTTTAAAGAATTTATTGGGGAATTGGGGAAGGGGAACAACATTGGAGAAATCAGGGAAGGGGAACAGACAAGTTGCTGTCATTTGTTCTTCAGTCTAGTTGTGGAGGACGTTGCTTCACTGGCCCGTGGTGGTATTATCATTGCGCTCTTCCCGGGTGAGACAGATTGGTCACTGGCCACTGGATGGCCCGCTCACGTCGGTTGCCAGCCACTCACGGTAGCTTACGGAAGCCCGCTGCAGCTCCACTGCAGCCTACGCCGTCGCTGGCGACTCATGGCAGCCCAGCTCCAGGTTGAGCTGTTGTTCACCATCTTGGCTGTAGAGGGCACAGCGTCACTGGCTCTAATGTGGGATCCGAACTGGACCCTGCTGGTCAGAGCTGGCTTCCCAAGCCAGCTCTTAACCAACGCTGCACTCGGCTGACCCAAACTTATTAACTTTTATAACATTTTGTGTGTGAATTGATGTTATAAGAAAATAACTGCTTGGGGTGGCCGGTTAGCTCAGTTGGTTTGAGCATGGTGCCGATAACACCAAGGTTGCCGGTTTGATCCCTGCATGGGCCACTGTGAGCTGTACCCTCCTTAGAAAAAAAAGAAAAGAAAAGGACTGCTTAAAATAGAGAACGTAAAGCCAAGTGTATTGAGAAGCACAACACAAATAATTAGGAGAAAGTTGGAAACATACAAGTAAAAAACTAAGTTTCTGAGATGTTCTTTCTCAGAATAATTCCTAACCCTGGCGGGGATTATCCCAGAGGAAGGGGTTGTGAAATTTTCTCCAGCTTCTGGAAAGAAAGTTAATTTAAAGTCACTTGGATTTTATTTATAATTTAATACTTTTTATAAGTAAGAAAGTATGTACTGAGGAAAGAGAAGGGTTAGAAATAACTCTCCCCTTCGTATCAGCATGCTGATACTTTCATGATTTACTGCAGTGCTATATTTAGGAGGTATTGAAAATGACCTACATGCCTAGCAGGGGACTGGTGAGACATTTATAGATGTTTCTGTGTGGCTGTTACAGACTGGTGGAGATACATATACATATGCATATGCACACGCACACAGAGGATGCCAAAAAAATGTATACACATGACGGGTATTCATCTTCTGTTTGTTTGTTTTTTGTTTTGTTTTCCAAATTTTTTTTTTTTTACTAGCTTCAGGCATGTATTCATCTTTTGTTATCGGTATATATTGAATATTACAATTTTAATACAGTTTTTTTTTCTTAAAATGTGTATACACTTTTTGGTGTGTATGTATTTTGTATATATTATATTATATGTATGTATGTATATATACACACATGTACGAACGTGTGTATGTGTGTGTGTTTCTATATATATGAACTGATCTGGAAAGATGTCTAAGGCATTTTAAAGAAAACATTTTATTTTGGTCTTTTCTCAAAGATGTACTTGCACATATTTAAAGAGCCAAATAATTCTATGTGTTATGAAAGTATTAGAGTGCTGCCCTGTTTATCTTCCTGAAGATGTTTATTCCAGAGCCTCTGACTTGCTTCTGACTTGCTGACCCCTACACCTGGTGTACGCTGTCATTTTTGAGGATGACAGCAGCTCTTTACCATTATCCTGGGGAATTTCCTTCATCTCTTTGGTTTTTGGGGGGAGAGAGTTCACCTGTTTCCTGCATCATAAGTCTTTTCTTTCTTAGTTTATTCCGTTTTGGTGCATTCCATCCCTGTAGCAGCTTCTTGAGAGAACATGCATAGAAAACAGATATTTAAGGCTCTATATATTTTAAAATATGTTTATTATATCCTTATTTGAAATAGTTTGGCTGGCTAAGGAATTTGAAGTTGGAGATTTCTTCAGGATTTTGAAGGCGTTGGCTCTACTTGAAGCCTCTGTTACCTGTTCCTTTGTATGTGGACCTGTTTCTTTATATTTCCTCTGGGTAAACCTATGGGATCTCCTCTTAGTCCTTAGTGTTCTGAAATTTCATGGTGATTCTGTACCCTGGTGGAAAGGTCTGTTGTGCTGGGCACTTGCTGGTTCTTTCAATGTGGAAGCACATACCTTTCAATTCTGGGAGGTTTTCTTGAATTACTTTTTTGAATTTTTTTTTTTAAAAGATTTTTTATCGGGGAATTGGGGGAAAGGAACAGCGTTGGGGAATTGGGGAAGGGGAACAGATAAGTTGTTGTCCTTTTGTTCTTCAGTCTAGTTGTGGAGGACGTTGCTTCACTGACCCATGTTGGCACCATCATTGCGCTCTCCCCGGGCAAGGCAGATCAGTCTCCGGCTTCTGGACGGCCGCTCACTGCGGCTGCTGGCCGCTCACGGCGGCTGCTGTCTACACACGGTAGCCCATGGCAACTCACTGCAGCAGGGGCTGCAGCCTACACCATCGCCTATGACTCAATGGCAGCCCAGCTCCAGGTCGAGCTGTTATTCACCATCTTAGCTGTAGAGGGCAGTGTCACTGGCCCTCATGTGGGATCCAAACCGGGGCCGTGCTGCTCAGAGCTGGTGTCCCAAGACAACTCCTAACCAACACGCCACTTGGCCGGCCCCATGCTTTTTTGGTTTGCTTCTGTTTTATTTTTTCATTCTGGGACAGAATTTGCCCTTCTGGGTTGTTCTGACAGTTTCTTATCTCTTCTGTCCTGGTTTCTACCTCTGCCTTTTGTTTTAACTTTCTGGATGATTTCTGCGATTAATTTTTAAATTTCTTCTGTCGTCTTTTAGTTTCTAGGAGTTCTTTGAGTTTTTCTTGTTTTACTGAGCGATCCGAGCATACAATTGGGCTCTTTACGATGGAGGGCTTTATTGTAGAGCAGTGGTTCTCATCCGGGGGCAGTTATCATAGCCGAGGTGCTGGTGCTCAACACTATCCAGCCCAAAATGTGAAAAGCGTTGAGGTTGGAAAACCCTGCTGTAGGGCGATTTAGGCTGGTTCGTTGATCCCCTGCAGCAAGTAATTTTTAGGTGAGTCTGATTCTGGATAAGACCTCCCAGCCTCCTGGCTGGAGGGCACAGATCTTGCTTTGGTTTTGAGAAAACTGTCGTAATATTGGGTGTGTAGATGTTTGCTTAATTCCTGCATTCTCAGCCTGGCATGCCTCATTCCTAACTCATATTTCCCCAGGTCCAGAGATCCTGTGTTGTCTTCTAGAGCAGGGTCAGCAGGTTTTTAACATAAAGGGTCAGGTAATAAGTATTTCAGGCTTTGTGGGCCATATGGTCTCTGTCACATGTGTGTAACTGCAGTTGTGCCAGAGCACCCACAAACGTAAGTAAAGGAATGAGCACGACTGTTCAAGTAAAGCTTTATTTATGGACACTGAAATTTGGATTTCATTTACTTTTCATGTCATGAAGTTTTTTGCTATTTTTCTATCCAACCATTTGAAAATGTGAAAACTATGGTTGGGCTGTATCGAAGCAGGAAGCAGGCCAGGTGTGGCCAGGAGATCATGACTTGCCAACTCTTCTTGCTCTAGGGAATAGCTACTTGGCTTTTACTGAAGTTCAGGAGTGGCAGTGGCCCCAGATACATAAACTTGGCGAGGGGAGGCGTAAACAGCCTTATTGTAGCTGTACCCCACTCTCACTTCCAAGGGGGTCTGGTGCTACCAATTCGTGAGCTGTTTGAGGATTCTCTAATAAAAAAATGATTGCTTTGTTTTCTTGACTGTTGGTTTAGGATCAGCTTTCTTGTGTCTACCAAATCCTTTACCTCTTGTTCATCTGCTTTTAGACTTCCAGAGTTACTGTTTCTCTTTTTTCCATTTCCCTGTTCTTGTTGGTTTGTGGCTTAAGAAAAAGAAAATATCCCTCTACTGTCATTTTATTAGTGTTTGAAGAAGACAGGAAATAGATGTGCATGCTCAGTTTATCCTCTTGTCTATACATTATTAAGTGCGGAAACATAGAACAGATGTAAAGCATGGTTACATTTTGGTGAAAATAATTATTTTCTTAAAGAGAAACTCAGAAGGAAAATTAAACTATAAACTTGATACTGGTTTTTTTTTTTCCCCCTAGAAGGGATTTGAGAGGACTAATTTCTCTGAAACATTTCTAAATTGCTTGAAATTTAAAAAATAAGCATGTATTCAGTTTATAGGAAAAGTAAATGACAGGGACTTTTAACTAGTTTCTATTCTGGAAGCCTAAGCAGAGGACTTAGGCTTCTATTAACTGAAGCTTTAAAGTAAGACTTGTGATAGATAATCTGCATATAATTGAGTTACCTATAGTTATCTATTTTTCCTACTAGAGATTGGGCAGACATAGTGACTTAGTATTTTTTTTTATAGATTCCATTTTTTTTTTTTTTTTTAGTTAAGCCTGGCAGCTCAGCTCGGCCTGGGAATTGAACTGGCGACCCTGTTGCTCAGAGCTTACACTCTTGAGTGAGCTCTTAACCAACTGAGCCACTTGGTCGGCCCTTAGATTCCATAATTTGGTACTTAAATTATCTACATGGAAGACTAACATGTCAAATTGGTTTATTTTGTAATAGGTATTTGATCAGTATGTAAAGACCAGGGCAGAGGAAGAACGCAGGGAAAAGAAAAACAAAATAATGCAAGCCAAGGAAGATTTCAAAAAAATGATGGAAGAAGCAAAGTTTAATCCCAGGTATGTGGTTCATTACTGTCAGCTATCAAAATATGTATGTATGTATGTGTTTTCTCCTAAGATCAGTTGAAAATAATTTTTTAAAATTATATATATGATCTTTCGGATATTTGGACACGAAAAGCTTCTTATTTGATCATTAGTTTTTGCCTTTCTAATCTTCATTCTTAATATATTTGCTTTAGAGGAATCCCTGGTTCTCTAGAGAGAGATTGGTTTTCAAGAAAGATGTCTTTGTTTTAAATGCTTCCTTGTGGGAACAAGTTTCCTTCTCTAGAAACTGGTAAATAATATCTGTCCCTGTCTTCTTAAAGTGTTTTTCACACATAATAAGTTTCAGAGCAGGGATATTATTTTGATTGAATTTTGTTTCACTTTTCTAAGTGTCTAGATTATAGTTTTGTCTCACGTTTCCAATTCGTTCTTAATATGTATTGATTATGTGTAATGGGCTGAAGAAAATGAGACATTTTAAACTGGCATTATAATAATAATAGCATCAATTAGTGGGTACTTTATGTGCCCTTAAAGATACCTGTGTGAACTTAACACATGTATTGTTACATGTATGCACCTAAATTGTGCACGTGTGTATATGTACACACATGTGCGTGTGCACACAGTATCTCGTTCAATTTTCAAAACAGCCAATATGATTTAGGTACTCATCATACCCATTTTACAGATAAGGAAAGTAAGACATAAGCAAACTGGGTAACTTGCCCAATTGAATGTGGGATTTCATCTAGATTCCAGTGTTACACAGAACAGTCCAGGCAGGGAGATGGCTTTCTTATCTATGCCTTAACTGTGGTAGTCGTGGTATTAGGGGCCTGTGAATATCTCAGAACATGCAGAGTTTCTAAAACTATAGGGTAGAATCATGGAGTCTGGGTTAAATGGCACTTTCCATAAAATTTCATCTTGTTTAAACAGTTATTTTTTTCAGTGGAATGATGTTTGAGAAAGTATATTTGGTATTATAATTTTATATTTGAAATATGAAGAGAAACCTGCTGTGGCATTGATACGAATTTCGGAAATAAAGCTAATCCAGTAAGTCCCCGACTTACGAACAAGTTCCATTCTGGGAGAATGTCCGTGAGTCGGATTTGTTCCTAAGTCCGACTTGGGTGCATGATTGACTGCATCTGTGAAAGTTTGCAACTTGAATGTTCATAAGTCGAGGACTTACTGTAGAGGATTTGTGGTTGTGAAGAATGTAAGATTCTTCAGTAGGTGAAAGTTTCAGACTTTCTGTGGGCTTGTGCTTTTTCTTGATCCAAAGGGTAAGCTCCTGGGCACAGTAGCTGGGACTGGGTTGTAAAAGACGTTTTTGGAGGCAGTTGAGGAAATTTGATCATGGATTGTTATTACATGATATTAGAGAATTAGTAATTTTCTGGAGTATTGTAGTTATGGAGAAAAAGGGACTTACTCTCTGGAGATGCATGATGAAATATTTATAGATGAAGTCTCATGGTGTCTGCAGCATATTTTCAAATGATTCAACAAAATATACCTATTAAAACCCTTTGTGGGTTTGGGAATAATTGAGCCCCAAAGGTTTTCCTTTTGTGGATTTGACGAAGTAAGTCTTAAGGTATCACAGTACCCACCTGATGTTCTTTTGGAGCAGATAGAATTGTTAGCCTGATCTGTGCTATGAGGTTCCTTCAGATCAGGTACATAACTGGGCGTTTTAGTACTTGGGGCATTGTGCTATATCGCTATATTGATACATTTAATGCTAGCATAGAAATTAGGACCAATTTTAGTAAGTAGCAGAAAACAAGGAGGAATAATTTAAAATTGAGAAATACTGTCCACTGACCTAAATTTCTCTGAACTGGGAAAAGATCACTATCACAAAACTGTTTAGCAGAGTTTGTAGATTTAAAGCACTGGAGTTTATTCCAAGGGAAAGAATGGCGGGGGAGAATTACTTACCTCTAGTGCCTGCCTCTTCTTTGTTTTTCTTTTTTCATGGAACTTTCGGGTCAACTCCTGATCACTATACTGTTCCCCATCCCCTACCACCAGTCATCATCCACTTCCCCGCTGTCCTCCCCCGCAAAAGGATTCTTGTACCATATCTGTTATAAAGTAGTGCTTTTTAGAGTTAAGAGAGGAGTCATATAAAAATATCTCTATGAAAATTCAGTGCTAAAACTTCATTTTTGTCTGTTCTGGTAAAAATTATTAATAATTTTACCTATTATAAGTAATATAAATAAGTGTAAAATAATTGAATTCTCGCTTTTACACATTAATTTTACATTAAAAAAATATGTTACAGACTGTTTTTTGTTTTTTTAAGATTTTATTGGGGAAGGGGAACAGCCAAGTTGTTGTCCTTCAATCTTAGTTGTGAGTTGTGGAGGGTGCAGCAAGCTCAGCTCCAAGTCCAGTCGCCATCCGGCTGCCTGCTCGTGGCCGTTCAGCTCAAGGTGCCGTGTTCAATCTTAGTTGTGGGTGGGAATAGCCCACAATCCCATGCAGGAAGTTTAACCGGCAACCTTTTTGTTAGGAGCATGTGCTCTCACCAGCTGAGCCATCCTGCCACCTGTTGGCAGCTCAGTGGCAGCTCAGCTTTGGCACAGCTCACTGGCCTGTGTGGGAATCAAACCAGCAACCCTGTTGCTCAGAGCTCATGTTCTTAACCAGCTAGCTGAGCCACTTGGCCAGCCCTAATTTTACATTTTTACAAAAGTTTATTCTTTAATCACAGTATTGCTTTTCCTGTCCTAAAATTATAAAGCAAGGTGCTAAATTTATTATGAAAAGAAAACATTTAACACACTACATTAAATCCCCTTTTTGAGATACATTTCTGTTTTACCTTAGAATTTTATTGTGGTTACATATTCATTGTTCAAACCAGGTTTGCAGTGTATCTTGTTGTTAAAAATGTTGAGTTTATGAAATTAGATCTTGAGAGTAATATCAGTTGCATGTAAAGGAGTATAGAATCTGACTGGTTAGCAAAGCTTAAAGTAAATGTTAGCTGGAGTGGTACTCGTAATCTTCAATTGATGTTTTAAATTCTGAAGTTAACCAGCCAGTTTTTTCTTTATAATTAAAACCTGTAATGTTTAACACATAAGTTTAATTTTCATTAAAATAGTTAAATAGTTTTTAAAGGAGAAAATAATCTTTATTTTTTCCCTTTTAAAACATGCTAAATATGGGAGTGTTTATTATAAGAGTAAATTCTTATTATGTAAGGAAAAAGCTTTAAATATTAAAATATATCCAAATATATGAAAGCTTTGTATAAAACCTTTTATTCATGAAGAAACTTTTTTTATACCCATCCTTATTAGCCTTCATAGGCTTCATCTTTGTGTTTAGCCTGCTTGGTGTTTGCTGGGCTTTTTGGACCTATGCATTGATATTTTTCATTAAATTTGGAAAGTTTTTGTTCAGTATTTTTTTTTTTTTTTGCTAATCCATCTTTTCTCTTTTAGGATTCTAATTACACAATATATCAAAGTGTTTGATGTTATCTTATATGTCCCTCAGACTGTTGTCCCCTCCCTCCTATATTATTTTCTGTGTCCTCTTTTGATGAAAGAATTCTTACTGATCTAACTTCCAAGTTACTCTGTATTCTATCTCTACTCTCATGTTATGTCCATCCAGTGAAAATTTCCTGTCAGTTTCGGTTCTTTATTTTCCATATCTCTGCTCAAACTCCCTATTTGTTCATTGACCATGTTTTAATTCTTTGAACCTATTTTGATTTAATTCTTTTAATATAATTCTAGTTTTAAGGTATTTGTATTTAAGACAACATCTGGGCATCTTGGATTCTGTTTCTATTTGCTTTTAAGGTTTTTGTCTGTGGAGCCACATGTTCAGTTACTTTTAATTGAATATTGGAAATTGTGGGTAATAGGTAGAGATCCTGGAGCCTGTTATCTTCCTCTGAAGAGTATGAATTCTTGTGTTAGCAAGAACTACTGGCTGATCACCTTAGTTTTAGGTTTGATTTTATGCTTTGTTAGTGTGGATCTTAGAAACTGGAAGGTATTTCTCTCAACCTCCCAACTTTGTCTCCATTGTGGATGTTTTGGTCATTGTCCAGTCTATTACTGGGATTTTTTCAGCCCTATTCAGTCTCTAGTATCCCTTTTTTGCTTTTAACCATGTAGCAGCTTGGCACGGGGGTGGTCTTCCTGTCTTGTACAGCTTGGCCGTGGCTGTGGCCTCCTGGGGAATCCCTCTGTGGCATTCTTCTGGGGCACCCTCTCCCTAGAGCTTCTTCTCTGCCACATTAGCACCCATACTTGGACCTTGCTGCGTCTTGCGTGTTGGGATCATTGTACTCTGCCTGGGCACCAGCGCTCTGTACCTTGGGAAGTTGTCCTGAGACAGAGGGCAGTGCAGCGTGCCTCAGTGGGCGCTTCCTGTTGGCCACTGCTCGAAATCAGTCGCCTTCTGTACTCTGTCTTGTGTTGTAACGCTGCCTATGGAAGGAGAGCTAACCCAGTAGTTACTCCACCGTGGCTAGAAGCAGGCTCAGCCTCGCTTAGGATGGAAATAGAGGAACTCCTGGGTCTCTTGAACCAGTAAACGCTTTGCTCTCTGATGTGTGGATCCTCCTGCCGCCATACAAATCTCTAACCGCATTTTCACCCTTTAGCCCTTTTTACTCCTTTTTGTAGCTCATTGTTCACTGTGTAGATACATGCTGGGACTGTCTCTTTGGTACACATCCTTGCTGGGAAAATGGTATCTTCTGTTATACCTTTCTACAAGCAGAAACAGCTCTACCAAAGTTAGCACACTTGCTGTTTTGTTACAGAGCTACTTTTAGTGAATTTGCAGCCAAGCATGCTAAAGATTCACGATTCAAAGCAATTGAAAAGATGAAAGATCGAGAAGCCTTGTTTAATGAATTTGTGGCAGCTGCAAGGAAGAAAGAGAAAGAAGATTCGAAGACCAGAGGTGAGAAGGTAAGACGGTTTTAGTTCCAGTGGTGTGATTGATGGGGGTGTGAATGGGCAGGGACTGATCTGGGCTGTGCTGCTCATCGTATTCGTGGGCCCAGTGGGACCCACATTTACTGGTTAGCCCTGTAAGTTAATTTTTATAATTGCTTACATGTGTGTATTCTAACACTTTACTTCCATAATGCTTATTTTAGTAGCTTCACGAAACTGCATAGAAACGTTTGCTTTAAATGTTTTTAATACTAAGATTCCAGGTAAACCCAGCTGGTTGTTTAGGCCTCTCTGTTCACTGGTGCCGGCAAGTGACTGGCTAAGATTTCAAGATTCTTTATAGGGTGTAACATTTAAGTTTCAAAAAGCTTCTTTATCTTTTTTGTCCTCTAAAAGCATTTTAGGGACTTTCTAATCTTCTAGTAAACATATCTCACATATGAATTATTGCTTATCAGAATTAAAGGTCAGCTATTAAAGATTAATGAATTCCAAATGTCATTTGATAGCAGTGTCAGGAGTGGAGAGGAGCTAGCTCACCACTGGGGCGCCTGGCTGGTAGGGAGATGGCACCAGTGGTGCGTGAGCCATCAAAACACGAAGCTGCTGTCCTTAGAGTCCCTGTATGCTTTGTGAATGGAGAAAAAGAACCTCTGAAGCCTAACCAATTCTTGACATTTCAAATTGCCTCTTATTCCAGGAAGTTAAAATATTATAAATTCTATTAAGAAATGTTGTTAGGGAATTAGTATCACTCTTGTTGGGAAGAAGCCTCTTTCATTGAAAATAACAACAGTATTGGGTGAAATAACTTTTGTCAGAAATGTTTGAAATTTTCTGATTTGTTGGGCCTAAAAGTAGATTTTTTTTACAGAATTATTTCAGTTTTAACATTTTTTTGGTAAATGATTATACTTCTCGGAGTAAATGTGCAAAATGAGTTCTACTTAAACATCTTATGCGTTGTATTAGAAACATGTTAATTGTTTGTTACTTTTGACTTTTAGTCGTAACCTATTTAATTAAACCAAGTAAATAAATGATTGATATGGTATGATTTGTATTATTGCTTTTATACAAATTAAATGTTTTTCTCTGCATTAACTAATTTTTTTTTCTTAAATACTTTTTTAATGTAACTATTTTATGTATTCTGTTTTATAACAAGTGGATAGAGTTTACAGTTTTGTGCTGTGCGGCCTGTCAATCATTTCAGTTCTGACAGCTATCAATCACTGATACGCAAAGTATTATGGGATTCCCTAGTGAGGAAAGAATTGGTATCTCTCTGTGTGGTGACTTTAGCCTCCCGCAGTTCCGGTACTTTACATTTTTTTAGTATGTTTCCTTATGAAGTGATGAGAGTTGTGCCCAGAATGTGTTAATTAAAATATGAAATTAAATAGACATTACAACTAAATAAACCTGTTATATTTAGCTTTATTTTTTTTCAATTGTAAAATTTTAATTCTCTAAATTATAGGTTTGGCTTTGTACCATTACTAAATTTAAAAAAAAAAAAAAGAAACTTTCTCAGCCAATTTAAAGAATGCAAAATCAATTACTAACTGGGCCATGAAAGCAGAAATCTTTAAAGTAAGGGTTTATGTATAGTATATTTTATATTCACATTCTGAGAAGTATTTGGTTAATGAAGTTTTACCACATTCTTCATGACTTTCACTGTATATTTATTCTTATGAAGTATATTGTCTGTACTGTTTTTTGGTTTTGTTTTTAATCACGTTTTAACTGTGTGTAATTGAATAGCAAGATCACTACCTTAGTATGCTGGTATATTGGGTGTCTCTTTTCTTGTTCTTCTCTAATTGAATCAGTAGCTGAGTCAAAAGCCTGTGAAGGACATTAACTTTTGGTGAAATCCTCTTTTTAGTCCTTCAATATGCATTTTCAAGTTAAAGAGTACAAGTCATTTTCATGTAGTTTTCACTGGTAATTTTCCATTTTACAAAAAATACTCCTAAAACTTTATTTTTAATAAGACTATTTTGTTTGCCAAAGTATAGCTACTGTCAAGCTTTTGGTTTTTTAATTATAATTGATTTATTATTATAACCAATTTTTATAAAATTGTGGTTCAAATAATTTACCTTTTGGAACAGCACATTTGCAGTTGCACAAGTGCAGTTAATCCTTAAGGCCAAGGAGACTATTTGTCTCTATTAAATTAAACAGCCTAGATGGTAAGGTACTTTTATTTAACGCTTTATTTAAAGTTTACTTTGGTTATGCACCACACATTTAAAAAACTATATAATTTTTACATTGCAGGCTTTGTTTAATACTTGAAAATTATTTTAAGTTAATATAAACTATAGCTTAGAAAGATTCCTATTTGATAACAGCTTGCAGGTTTTATATAACATAAATTTTATAAACTCAGCATTCTAGTTATGTGCATGTAGGGATTTGGTGTTCATCGTGTCAGATACAAGGTAGACAAGATGAACAGAAAGTATGTTACATCACTACAGCAAGCAGTTTCTTTATCATGTCTGGAAATACTGGATTTATGAGTATTTCTCATTGATCCAAGCAACAGTCAAGAGCCAAGTTCAGTAGTGGAGAAATCCACAGGTGATTAGCTCTTGTCTTTTAAAAAAAAATCCTCTAATACAGAAACTGTTTCTTATAACCTTGCAAGTGTTTTCCAGAAAGTCCTCTAATAGGAGAAATGAAGTTATAGGAAGAAATGAGAGAGTTGGAATAGGCAGAGGGAATCATTCATTTACTTTGTGCCCACACATTTTAAATCCTGGTTCCATTCCTACTTCTCATGCCCTTGGTGAGGTGAGAAGGCAGCATGTTGAACCAGTGTAGGGAGGAGAGGTTCTTGACATAGTCAGAATCCTCTGATGAAATGACTTTGGCTACCTTGGGTATCTTCCCCGGTAGGAGAACAGAATGATTTAGACGAGATTAAACCTTAAAACAGGTCCTCAGTGGTGCATGAAGATAAATGCCTCCTTTAGCCCTTCCCCTATTTAAAAACTCTTATAAACACAGTTTGGGAGAGGGGTCCTAAGTAAGTATATGTTGATACTAAAGGATTAATATTATTTAATACCTTTGGTATAATGTCACTAACTTGGTACTTCAGTTGTTAAATATGTCATTTCATTAACACTTGTAATCTGAGTTGTGTAACGGTAAAGGCATACATGTTTAATGGCTAAAAAATACAGAAAATGTGAATGTAGTTTTTTTAGTAATGATTAATTAATTATGACCAACAGAAATGCTATAATATTCTTGAATATAATGTTACAAACATTGCTCTTTTTTAAACCAAAGTATAAAAATTTACCCTATTTATTTGTTTTTAGGCATTTGACAGTATAGTTTTAGATTTGTAATGAATAAGACTTGCTATTTGTGCTCAACTATTTCTAAATTCCCGTATTTTAACAAACAAAAAATTTTATTTACTTTCTAAAATAAATCATTTTTATCATCTTGATGCTAAAATATTTTACTATCAGTTCATAAGCTGGATCTTAGCTAAAAATAACTCCAAATTCATATTCCTTATGAAAATACGGCAGTGCTGAGATCAAACGTTATAAACAATATAAAAGTTTTTTCTATATTTGAATAATTTCATTGGAGAATATGATTAGTTTTGAATTTGGTAGATTTTTAAATGGCAGCCTATTTGTTGATTCTTATATTTCTCATGAAAGAGCAATCTGATACTCTTTTACTAAAATTTATTCCACTCTAAATGAGTACATTTAAAAAGTTGTTATTCTCATCTTTAAGGTAAGTAAGTGAACTTTTTTTGTTTGTTGCAAACATTAATGAGGAATTTCTCACGACACATTGTTTTCCTCCCATCTTGTTTTGAAATACAGATTAAATCAGATTTCTTTGAGCTATTATCTAATCATCACTTGGACAGTCAGTCTCGATGGAGCAAAGTAAAAGACAAAGTAGAGAGTGATCCGCGTTACAAGGCTGTGGATAGTTCATCAATGAGAGAAGACCTTTTCAAACAGTATATTGAAAAAATAGCCAAGGTAACCATTGTGCTGGCTTGTACTGTAACTATGGAATAATAAAATCCATAATTGTGTTGTAAAGGTATTTGCTGCTCTTTGGGGGTTTGGAATTTTTCTTGTTGGTATTCTTAATATAGGAATCTCTAGTAGTTGATTTGGAAATGAGGTACAGTATGTAGGTGTATTCTTGGTAAAAACTAGGTTTGACATTTTATATTTGGTAAACTAGTTATTCTGTGGAAACGTTTTAATGCAGTGGTAAGAAGGATAATGTAATTTTACTTTTACAGAATTTAGACTCAGAAAAAGAAAAGGAGCTTGAAAGGCAAGCCCGCATTGAGGCAAGCCTCCGAGAACGTGAGAGAGAGGTTCAGAAGGCTCGGTCAGAACAAACGAAAGAAATAGATCGAGAGAGAGAGCAACACAAACGAGAAGAAGCTATCCAGAATTTCAAGGCTCTCCTGTCTGACATGGTATTATTATCCTTTTACCTTTCTTTCTGTAAAGTACAATCCGTCACCTTACCTCTTAGAGAACATTTAGTGTTCTTTAAATTGACCCTGAGGGAAACAACTTGGTAAGTTATTTATAAAGCCCTTTAAAATTGAGTACATATCACCAGCCCTGTTGAAATAGGAAAACCCTAGTTATTTAACGTTTTCAGAAATTAAATGTTTTGGATGTATGACAATTCATAATCTTTAGTGTTAAAGCTTTATTTTTACTGGTCTTGATGGAAGTCATCTTAAATGATTACACACTGGCTATAGTAATAAAGTGTGCTGAACATAATTTAAATTGTTTGTTGATTTAGGGTCATCATTGTGATGACCAGTTATTGTCCATGTAGATGGCATGAGGTGGAGGACGGGGGGTGGACTGACCCCAGGAGATACCCTGGAACTTCCTTGAAAATCCTTCTGCGTGACCTGGTGGTTGAGGTGTGCAGGGTGTTTTGTCCCTGCAGTGAAGGCCCCCAGACCACGGCTGCTCTACTTGTTTCCCCTTCTCTTCGTCGCTGTCTCTGCTCCTGTTTCTTGCCCCTCGTCCAGCGGGGCTCTTCTCCTCACTCTTGTCCTGTCCTCCGGCTTCTCCCCGTGCTGCTGCTGGTCTTGCTGTTCTCTGGACAGCTGGCGTTTCCCACCCTTCCCTGCCTTTGCTTCCCCACTGGGTTCGTCTTGATTGCGTTCCCAGAAGTCTGTGCAGAAGGCAAAGCTGGTTTCACCACCCTCCCTGCTGCTTACTCTTAGCAATGGCCTGCATTTCAGATTCCATCTCCTTCACATAATAGAAAACACTCTTCATTTCTTGACGCCCCCACCTTTGTATCACCTGACCCTCTTTGGTTTTCTCTCTTGCCCCCTAACTAGGCTCTAGCCTTGCTGAACTTAATCTTTAATGAGTCATACTTACATTTATGAATCCTACCATTGCTCGTCCCTTTAAACTTCCCAGCCCAGTGGCGAACTTCCTTGTTCTTCAAGAGCACACGCGGCTCTCTCTTCTGTGAGGCTGCTCCTGACTCACCTGGGTAGACCTGACCTCACTGTGCCTTTTGTCGCCGTGGGCTCAGCGTGCACCTCTGCAGCGCTAATGACTTATTACCGTAATGACTGGCTTACGTGCCTGTCTTCCCTAAACAAGTGAGCCCTTTGAAGGAAGGGATAGTATCTTATTTGGTATTCCCAGCACCAAGCATAGCACTTACCTGACCCATATTTAGATGCTTGATAAATGTTGGTTAAATCAATGTTTTTATATTTTTCTTCTTACCTTCCTGTATTTTCAGCCTCTCATATTTCTTAGCCTTGCCAGCAGTGTGACTGTTGGTAATGCCATTACCTTTCTGTTGGTGTGAACCAGCCAGGCCTGTCTTGTTGTCTGTTATCTTGTCTTCTTAACCATGTTCATTCTTGCTTATACTTCCAGTATGTAACCGATAAGTCCAAATCTGAGCTCAGGATTTGTTGAGAGAGTGTGTGTGTGTGTTTTGCTTGGTGCTACAGTAAGACAATGCATATCCTATTTCATTTGTACCCATGTGTCTACTAGAAGTTGGTAAGATGTTAAATAAGAGGACCTAAGTACTGTTACAGTTCTTAGGGACCACGGTTGATGGGAGATATCTTCTCTTCATCCTTTCCCACCTCTGCATTCATACTTGATAGCTTAGGTGAGCTCTGGGAGGTAAGATTTCCGACTTAAAGAAGCATCTTTTCAGTGACTGCTGAACTCAACGTGAAGTCAACAGAAGCTTCTCTTCTTAAATGTATTGTCTTTTGTGAACGAATGAGCCTTTTATTGTTGAACTATGAGAAGATAAGCCTGGTGATGGACCTGTTCTCTGTTTAAGGTCCGATCTTCAGACGTGTCATGGTCTGATACTCGGAGGACTCTGCGGAAAGATCACCGCTGGGAATCGGGGTCCTTGTTGGAAAGAGAGGAGAAAGAGAAGCTCTTCAATGAGCACATCGAGGCGCTCACCAAAAAGAAGAGGGAGCACTTCCGGCAGCTCCTGGATGAGACGTCTGCGGTAAGAGCCTCTTGTTTTTCCTTCCTTTCATCGGCACGGATCTTTGCTAAGAGTTCTCGAACGGAAAACAGTGATACAATTTTTAGTGTCGTGGTCTTTAGATCTATTACTGGAATTCATGGGTTTTATGACACTTTCTTCTAGGATTTTTTTTTCCAAGTAAAATGTTGATAGTAGTCTTACTATTTAGAAATTATTTCCTTTTGCAGTTTTTAAAATTCTTATGTGCTACTGTGGCAATTCGAAGTGTCCTGAGCTGTGTGTGATCAGTGACCCCTCCTCATGATAGATGTAATAGATTGCTTTTGCTCCATTTTCTATTTGCTCCCAGGGCCCCCTGTCTGGGAGTTTGTACACTTGTCCAGGTCTTGCTCCTGTTGATCTGCTGTCTTTGGGTGGTGGTTTCTTCAGGAGTTACGATGTTGCCTTGGCAATGCAGAGTTTGCAGGTGATTGATTGTCTTAGGCCACCTTGAAAGTGTGACTGTGAAAATAACTCGTGGCAAGCCAACGAAAAGAAATTGCCTTAAAGCTGCTTGCCTGTCCCTAACTAGGCCAGTTACGCTTGGGCATTCTGAGAGATCGCAGGTCAGTGTGTAATATTACGTACCATGTGCTGCACTTTGACTCCTCGGTAAGAGCGAGTTGTATTTATGTTTTTCATTCACTTGTCTTTTCAAAGATTACCTTAACGTCCACATGGAAAGAAGTGAAAAAAATCATTAAGGAAGATCCTCGGTGCATTAAATTCTCCTCCAGTGACCGGGTAAGAGGATTTGTGTCTGAAATGGACTGCCAGTTTATAAATGTTAATTGGGCGCTTAATCAGTGGCATAGTATCTTGACCAAAATTAAATTGATAGTTTTAAGTGAATAACTTTTAAGTGCATGAGAAACAAATCTGAATTTTAAGTTCATATTCTCTTTTTTACACCATATATTAACAAGACAGCACAATAGAAACTTGAAAAATTTCAACCTTGGGGTTAAACTTGTGTTTTGGGGTCCTAGAGGTTTAATGAAGCTATAGTTTGTATTCATTGTGTAGTCAGTTCCACTAGATAGATGTACTCAGGCTGTCAAAGGGCCTGACTCTGGAGCTGCGCTGGCCGATCACCGTAGCGGAGCCCTGTTCTGGGCCCAGCGATGCCTGTGCAGGAAACAGACTCACCTCGGGTCTGAAATAGCGAATGATGCCAAGGCAAGTGGAGCTTCCTCCAGTGCGATTGATTCCTTGGTCTTACATTTGTCCTCTGTCCCCATCATTCTCCTTTTCTGGTGGGTTTCTCTAGGTCTAGAAGGCCAAATACTCTTTTTTCTCACACCCTATTAAGTTGTGTTTTAGATGATGTGTGGACCACAGACATATGTGGCTGGGAAAGGTGGCAGACGCACAACTGAGAGACCCAGTCTCAGTTTCTAACTTTCCTGATTGTTTAGAATTGATAATAAGGTCTTCTTTTGTTTTTTTGTTTTTGTTTTTGTTTTTTTTTTAGCCCAGAGAGCTTATACCTATCATAACTATTACTAGAAAAGCTAAATGCTCAGTATAACTTATTTAAGTTATGAAAATGAATGCTGGTGTATCCATAAATTATACCACATTAGTGTCTTTGTGCTTGAAGACATAAATGTAGTCTAATGCACATTTAACCCTTAATTTCTTTATGTTTTAAGAACCTCTGTTTAGAACTTGAGGATGTTATGAATATTAAAGGGGATATCCTTATAAAACCCTCAGCACAGTGTAGCACATAGCAAGCCCTCAAATTTTTTAGCTACTACTAATATATTATGTGGTTCCTAATTCTTGCTTTCCTTTTGTCTTAAAAATGTACATTGCAGATTTTGCATTTGATGAAAAATGAACAAATAAATTATGTTTTTCTTTTGAATTTTTAATTTTACGATTTATTCATGTGACTTACAAATTTAACAAATACTTAAACTTATTTATAAATTTACTGGTTTAATAAATAATTTGATTTAACTTGGGAATTGTGGATTTTTTTTTTTTCTAATCTTGTTTTCTTTTTGCAGAAAAAACAAAGAGAGTTCGAAGAATACATCAGAGACAAATACATCACAGCCAAAGCTGACTTCAGGACGCTTTTGAAAGAGACCAAATTTATAACATATAGGTGTGTGCAATGAAGTGTTTCATATCAGCAGCTAACGTCTTTACTAGTCCTTACTCTAACGGCCAAAGCATACTTTGCATTCACACACATGTTGACATTTATTAATTTTTAAGAATAATAAACCAACTTTTATCAAAGGCCAAATACAGCCCATCTGTACCTTACTTTTTTTTTTTTTTAAAAGAAAGGGCCCAGATATCAATTCTTATTTTGTGTTACCCACCATCCAGTTTTTTACACATACTTTTGTTTTTACTTCACTGCTTTTTTAGGAGTGCCCCCAACTATATAAGAATTGTATTTCATGAAGAGAATTTTTAAATAATCCTTCACTATCAATTGTCTTTGCCTCCTCTGAAGACTGTTCCGTGTTAAACCATTCTGAAAGTTGAAATCTTCTTATTTAAGCTCAGCAAAAACATTTTTTTCTCAGAGGAAAGCAGTTTTCTGGATACTTTTAACTAAAAACTTTAAATGATAAAATCAGAGCTTTCAAACAAGATTTCTCTGTAACATACCCAGTGGTTTCCCACCCCCAGCCATTTATCATCAGGAAAACAGTTTTACACTGTGTAGCAACCAGTAGGCAGGAAACCATTGTCGTTTCACGCTCCAGCTTTTCTTCCTTTAAGAGAAAAAGTGGAAACATCTTAATGAAGGGAATGTGCACGGGAGGATAGATAGCGCTGAGGGTGTGGTTTTTAGGTATTTTGTCATTGGATTTTTTGGTCAGGATCCTTAATGTTTTGCATCAGCTTGAGCTTTTAAATTAGATGTGAAGTAAGACTTCTTTCTACATTTTTATAGTTAATTTAGTGAAAGATGTGAAAGTGAAAGCTTGTGAGAGATGCTGGGATTGGCAGCCCTGCAGACTGAAGTCCTCTGTTCATCCACAGAACAGGTACAGCACGGGCAAGATTTACCCACCCACCCTCAGCCCTGATCTGGAGGGACCACCAGTAGGGGTGGGAGGGTAATTCAGCTTCTGAGGCCCTTTCACTCCTTGGAGTCTTTGCTGAGGCGACTTACAAAAGTGACCACTGCAGTGCAATTTTTCTTAAAAAAAAAAATAAATAAATAAAAAAATGGAAACACAATTAGGAACTAGATGGACATTTCCAGCTCATTTCTGAAAGACCTGTGAACAGCAGTCAGTAATTCTTGGACTTCTCTTCTTATTTCAGATCCAAAAAGCTAATCCAGGAATCCGATCAGCACCTGAAAGATGTAGAAAAAATTTTGCAGAACGACAAACGGTATCTAGTCCTGGACTGTGTGCCAGAGGAGAGGCGGAAGCTGATTGTGGCCTACGTGGATGACCTGGACCGCCGGGGCCCACCCCCACCGCCCACAGCGTCCGAGCCCACCAGGCGATCCACAAAATAACTGCGTACTCTTCCCTAGGGGTAGCTATTAATTCAAAATGCTTGCATGAGCCAATTTTGGGTTTTTACATGTTATGTGCATTAGTCAAACGATTGCAGAACCATCTGACGAAAAGGAGGAGAAGCATTTGTGAACAGTTGCTGGACAGAGAACACTTTGGAAATATTTATGCTTTTCTTTGTGTGGCATGACTGACATACATACTCAAATATAGGCTGTCTCTAGTAAATCTAAAATCTTGAAGCTAAAAAAATCATCCTTTTCTGAGGTGTGGAAGTCAGTGACTTTTGGTGACGTTCTTCTAGCAGTGTTATCCATGCAAGACGTAAGAGCATTTGTGGTTTGAACTTGCAAGATACAAATACCACAGACTCCAAGAAAACCTAAGCTGGGGTTTGTTTTGTTTTGATTTTGTTTTTTAAAGCGGGTAAAAGAAAACACACTGAAAATTGAATTCTTATCTTCCAGAGGTTAAGATTATTATAATGGACATACTTTTACCTTTGTCTCTAAAGAACACTTAGTTTTATTTGTTCACTTATGTGCTTTGATTACCCCCTCTAAATTATAGGCCAAGTCTTGTTGTTTAGCCTAAGAGAAGATTTCTGTAGTAATTTCTTCTCAGGTATGGAGCCACGGTCATACTAACATGTGGGCCAGAGTAGGACTGCTGGTTAAACCCCTTCTATTCACCATTAAGTGATCTTCATCAATATTTTGGATTAGACAACAGATTACCTTTCTGGGTGTTCCCTGTAAACTATACTCCTGTTTGAATGTTAAACTTTTGTTTCTAAAGTTTAATTTTAAGATGTTTGAATGTTCAGTTTATGTATTTGAACTACAATAAACCAACCCTTTTTATATATGTGGATTGTATATGATTGGTAATTTATAAAAACTTCTTTTAAACCTGCTCTTTAACAGGTTTAAAAGCAGTAGCAGATGTAATTTGGTACAATGAAAGCTGACTTTAAATCTTTGGATAGCACATCATTTTGAAAGACTTGCATATAATAATAATGAATTATTTGCAGGATAAGAGGGAAGGGGCTTGGAAAGAGCCATCTTGGTGCGCAGTCCCTTGGCAGCATCTCACTGCTTCATGTCACGACGCTGAGTTTTGTGGTTCTCTTGCCTTTGCCCTTTCTATTAACAGTGATAGTTAATGCTGCTCCGGCACCCTTTCAGTGTGCTGTGCACATCATACCATGAAACTTGTGATTCCCAGTTGTTCTTTATAGCCTTACCTCCCCAGTTTAAAAGATCCTATTTCATTCCTCCATAGATTCCTAGTTTCAGAGTACCACATAAATGTTTAGAAAAATATATGTCAGTGGGATAATCTATTGGGTTGTCGGAAGAGTCATGGCGTATTTTTTCTATGTTTTTTGTTGCAAAAATGCGTCATGACTTTTCCGACAACCCAATATTTTCTCTGTTATCTCACACCTACTATGATTGTGACAAAACCTAAAAAGGGACACCAGCAGATTTGTATTTGTGTGTTCCATGTGCACAGACACACATCACACACAGACATGAACACATTCACATCTGTGTTATTAGTATGTAGCTTAAATATATTAAGTGCCACAAAACTTACATGAACTCTGTATGTAGAAACCTGGAATTCAGTATTTGGCTAAGCTTGACTGGTAAATTGTTAATTAACAGAATTTTTCTTTTTCTTTATCTCCCTTTTTTTTTTTAAGTTCATTTTTATAAATTCATTGAGTGATTTTTAATTCTTACAAGGAGTGAGACTGAAGTATTTAACAAAAGGCACATGACTATTACACAAATGTGACTGTCCTACAAAGGTGAAATTTCCAAAATGCTTTATTTTGTTATTTTGAATTCCATAGTATTGTTCGCCCATTCACTACATTCTGTTTCTCAAAGTAATGTGAAGAAAACAGTTTGGTGACATCTTAATTTCCTACTTTTATTGTAAAGTACTTGGGATTGATTGCTGATATAAATTGCAAATCAAACTCTTCTACACAGATTTGTTTAAGGGATGAAGTCGGGACTTTGTGTATTAGGTTCTTAATGAAAGAGTTGTGATCACACTGGGTTTCCATATCTGCATCTTGATTTGGTGCTTGTCAGCAAACTCTGTAAACATAACATGAATTTGTTTACCCTGAGACCTGTGCCAGTGTTAAGGTCTGGGCTCCCCATATAATCCCATTGTGTCAAATGATGAGTTTGAAAGGAGCATTCAAGACAAGACAGCTTTAAATCTCACAAACTATCTGAAGTGAAACAATTGTTTTTATTTGTTTATAAGTTAAAATAGCAATACTGGAATCTTATGTCCTACATTTACTATATATAATGTATGTAAAAATCTTAAATAGTTCATCACAGACAATTTTAAAAGTAATGCCTTTGTATAAGTATCATATTGCAAAAACAGTATTTTGGATACTTAGGTTAAATTGGACTTTATATGTGCAGTGAGCCTTACAATTTTGTAATGAACCAAATACAAGACAGCAATAGCCCTATCTTCTGTGTTTAAAAAAAACAAATGACCATTCGTAAAAACAAAATAAAAAAATCCACAGACTGAACTTGGTTTAAAAAATAAAAATTCCATCCATAGCATATATTTTATATTTCAAATTCTTGCTTGCCTCAAAGGCAGTTTTTTCTGAAAGAGTCCTTTAGTGAAAACACCCGAGTTCCATTACAAAGTAGTCAAGAACCATGGCTAAATGTCCTTATTTAATAGGGGAAGAAATGTAGTATAATAATTTTTCATTGGGTATGCTTTACCTTGCTGTAAAATGAACAGTTATTGCCTGTTATTTAAGTTATACTGGTAATATGTTTGGAAACACAAAATTGTAGTGCTTTTCTTTCTGCGTTGCCCTTGTATGTTTGTTTTCTACTCTTATGCAAATTCTCTGTCTTGCATCCACTGAATTTTCTCTTTTCCATACTAGTATTTTTTTCTTGCTACTCTTGATCAGGTTTATAACTTAAAAACCCTGAGGTACTTTAAAAGTTGAGCAGGGTGCAAGTTCAATGTTATAGGTATGTTTAATGCCATTTAACAAGAAGGCTCACCATCTCTCCCCCTTCTATATTTATATTTGACAATTGCCTTCAGTATTTAACACCAATATCATTAGTCATAACTTATAGTTTATCTTGAGAGAAAGGAGATATTGGGAGGAACAGATTGATTTCAGCTCATAGAAGAGTTAACTGTCTCCTGCATTTTGGAAGAGCAGGTACTTGGGAAGAGAAAGGGTAGGTTTTAAGCTCTTCCTTCATATCAGGATATAGACTGTCACGCTAAGATGGTAATCCTTGGACTTAGAAACCGAAGACTCACAGTGGTGGCATTAAAATCAATGAAGCAGCTTTTAATATAAGGCAAAGTTTTTACTTAAACTTAGCCAAAATAAGCCATGATTTGAAATGAGCCCAGACCTGGAATAAAGTGGTGTTCCTTATTCTGCAACCTTCAGTCTTGAACATTGTGTATAGATTTTCATCAAGTAAATTTACTTATTTTAAGCAAATGAAGATGACTCATTACAATTTATTCATTAGTGTGTTGACGAAAAAAATCTCTTAACTGGATGTAGATAGTGAGCTTTGGTTAATGTGAAATGAAGCTTGACAGGTGAATTGAGGGCTGGCAGGCTCAGGAAGAAACAAGGCAAAAGGTTTCGGCTTTTGACAGATAAGCTCTACTCCAGCCAGTACAGAGCTGCTCCTAAAGAGTGGGCAGTAAAACAGCCACTGCGAGCAAGGAACAAAAGAGCTGGGCTTTCTAATCACTTGTAGAAACATCATCATCCAACAGAATTCTCTGGACGGCCAGGCTACAATTCTGAAACAATTCCTGCTCCTAACGTGGTGTTCTACTTACTGCACGTTTTGGAAATGAGGACTGAAGCATCTTTGTCGTTCCTAGTGGTAATAATTCTTACCATGTTTTATATAGAGCAGCAATATCGATAAGCAGCAGTACAAGTACATACAATCATCACCATTTGTTTTGCTTTGAAACATAGTCATTTCTCACACTCTCCTGTCTCCTGATCTTCATGCTCCCAGGGGATAGGGTCGTTGTCTTGGACACCAAGGACTGTGTCCCTCTCGTGCCAAAACTGCTGTACATCAGGGAGGATGGGAACCTCTGCCTTCTCGGTTTTCTCTTTGCTGGAGGAGGGAGAGCCCGTTTTCTCTCTCTCTGGTATGGATGTTGGGGACTCTGGAGAGGGAACACTGTCAGGAAGGACCTCTGTGTTACCAGCTGGTGGTTCCTGAGACCCTGAGGCAGCTGGATGTTGTTCGGTTACCATCAATTTCCATAAGCCTTTCAAGCCTTCCTTGAGCTCCTCTGACATCACTAGAAAAATGAGAGGATTTGCTGAAGAATTGGAAAACATGAGGACTTGAGAGAGGGCTATAAAGCCCTGTGGTGGGGCCGGGCCTCCTGCCTTCAGATGCCATACCCACAGCCAAGCTATCCATGCGGGGAGCCACAGAATAGCAGAGGTGATGGCAACGCTTAGCAACATCACTGTGAGTTGCCTTGAGCGCATCTGGTTTCTAAGATGTTGAGTCTTGGTTCCTCGCTTTCGACATTGGCCATAAGCTCTCCAGAAATAAAAGCTAGCAACGAGTAACGGAAGGCAAAATACCAAGAGAGGGTAGAGCTTACCAAACATCGACATGAACTTTGCGGCCACAGCGGGCACGTCCATGAGGCACATTTCCACGCCTGCGTGCAGCCTGGTGGTGCTGAAGAACCATTCCGGCAGGGGCAGCAGGCCAGCCACAGCCCAGATGGCCACCAGCACCGACCCGGTGGTGCAGGTGTGGATGCTTCCTGACTTGGCTGGGTCCCTTGCGTACATGAAGCAGACTTTAGCCACTGCGACGATGGTCAGGCTCTTGACTGCCATGCACATGTGGATGAACCAGTCAGAGGACTTGCAGACAAACCAGCCTAGATCCCACACACCTTTGGAGTACGCCGTAGCTCGGACAGGTGCAGAAAAGAGCAGGAGAGAGAGATCAGCCAGGCTGAGGTTCAGAATCAGGGAGTGGATCAGGGACGGCTTTCCTTTCCGAGCACTGTGAAGGAGGAAGCCAATCACACACAGGTTCCCCATGAAGCCCACCAGGCAGACAGCCGCCAAGACAGCGGGGACGATGGTCCTCCAGGCCTTGGAGTCAGAGGGCAGGTACCCTCCGGCAAAGTGTAGGTGAGCAAAGGACACATTCATGGCGCTGGAGTTGGAGTCTGCAGGGGCGGCCGCCAGCATCCCCTTCTCCATCCAGCTCCTGGATGGAAAGCAGGTAGCTTTCTGTCTTTTTGCCTCGGCTCTTTTGTGTAGGGAATAAGTACGCCTTCATCCGCATCAGATGACACCTCTGGACCCTCCCATTATTTTCTGAGCAGAATGTGGAAGAAGGCTGTCTGCTAAGCTCTTCGCCGCTGCATGCGATATACCTTGATTGCTCTGAATGACAGGCAGTAGGGGCGAATGGTTGCTGCTCATTAGCAAGTCTAATATCAAAGTGTCAGGCCTGTGGAGTAAAAACCCAATATACCCATAAATGATAAATGAGGAGAACATATGCGTAAGTGGGATATGTTCATGGGGGGGAGGGGTCACTGGAGCCAGTCAAGGCAATTATTTCCAACCAGCTGTTTCTAAAGCCTTGACTGCGATCTGTAATTCAGGACCTCTGAACGAGAGCCCTTGAAAGCTAAGCACGCAGCAGTCACCTCGGTCGCTTGAGCCAGCAGGTCTGCAGCAGGGAAAGAGCAGATTTCTTTGCTCTGAGATGCTGACTAGCCTCCAGTAGACAGGCTATTCTATTCTGAGACTGTGATTGAAAAGAAATATTATGGAACCAGGGAGAGATGGTGGCTTAGAAAGACCAAGCCCAAGGCCAGTACTGGTGGGAAAGGAGGATATATGAAAGCAGCAGAGGCAAGGACGCCCAGGGTGCTGGACTCAAGAGTTTGCTGCCCCTGACGCCTGGATTCCTCAGCTTGGACTCCCCCTCTGTCCACTTCCACGCACGCAAAGACCCCAGCAACAGTGCAGCCGCCACCCCAAGCGCCTCAGCTGGGTCCCAGGCCGCTTTTCCTGACAGGGACACCTCCCATAGTGATGATGCCAAGAAGTAGCCCCTGGAAACTCAGAAGCAACAGAAAGTCTGAGCTGCAGACATTTTTTAAAAAAATTTTATATTGCAAGGGACCGCAGCCAGCTTAATCTTCCGAAGAATCTAGACAAGCAAATTGGTGGCCAAGCTTTTAAGCGGCTTCTGATAAAAGCAGAGCTAACTGTCATCTCTTACCAGGGCCAGGTGATGTTTCCCTACAGCTCAGCTCCAGGGAAGGGCAACTAATAAATAATACAGGCACAGCTTGGAAATATTGTGGGTTTGTTTCCAGACTGCAATAAAGCGAGTATCACAATAAAGCAAGTGGTAATCTATTTGCTGGTGGAGGTTCTCACCTTCAATTTGTAAAAAACATGACACCTGTGGAGCTCAATAAACCATTTAAGGCTAGAACTCGATTCCAAGTGTTTCAACCTGGGTCCGTGTATTGGGTGAGTTCTTAGTGCCAACCTCTGTGTTAAGTGTTGCACACATTGAATATTCATGACCCCTGGAGAAGGCACTGTTATCACCCCTTATAAAGATGACAACATTGGGGCACAGAGAGTTGAAATGACTTGCCCGTGGGTCTATAGGTTGCACAGCTAGTGGATGACAGAGTTGGGATAGGGATCCCTATGGGTCTGACCCCGGAGCTGGGGTACATAAACAGCTGCTGTGGTGCCCCACTGAGGAAGCTGTGGGATACTGACTGCGATTGTGGAATTGGCCTAGTTCCGTTCAACGAGCATGTGTTGAGTGAGCGCTTTGGCACAGGGAGCGCAAAGCTCCGAGACCTCCTTTGTGCCAAGCACCATGCTAGCCCCTGGAGACCCAATGTGGTAGAGTCCCTTTGCTTGAGGACCCACAACCTAGTTGGAGACCTGAACCAAGAAAGCTCAGTGACAGTGCTTCAAGAGTTCTGGCTGATGACGCCTGGGCAGGGGCCCCTGGAGCAGACCAAGAGTTGGTGGGGGGAGAGTCAGGTGAAGACTCCCCAGAGAAGTGAAATCCAGGCTGAGGCCTCAGCCACGCACCTACCTGTGCATCTCCACCTGAGCCTTTTGGAGCTCATCACTGCTGCGGATTCAGTGTCCCTGTATCAACCACACCAGAAAACAGCTGCTTCTCATCAGAGACATTAGCATGGTTTACTTCAGGTGTCTGAGAGCTCATCTTTCCTGCCTCCAGGTTTTCAGGCTCCAAACACTGCAGGTGAAGCGTGGGGAGGGGCAGAGTGGGCCAGGTGGGGCCTTTGCAGACCAGCTGCCATTTATCAGCTTGTTGGGCATGCCCAGCTCCATCTGCGTGGATGGTAGTTAAGTCAGCCCTCAGTTTGCAACGGCTTTCCCGTCCCTCACTCCCACTCCCACTCCGGGTAAAAGGCCTTAATTCACGGGTGACGTTTCCTTCGTTGCTGGCGTCCTTGCTCGGCTGCGGTTTCCTTCTTCCAGTCCTCTGGTTATGCGCTCTTTCGGACTACCATTACCATGTTTGGTGGAGTATCTTTTGCTGGGGAGCCTTCCTGAGTGGCATGTCCCGTTATTTAGCGTCTGGTGTCTTGAGATGTCGTTCCCGACTGCAGGTACAAGCTGGGTGACAGTTGGTCTCCGAGGTAAGTGTTGAGTAGGTCTGGCTGGGTCTAGTGGCCGCTCCTACAAGACAGCACTCCCGTCCCCCACCCCTCCCCCATTTCTACTGTTGGTTTTGTAGGGAAGACGATGAATTGTGCTGTTTGTTACGAAGTGGTCATCAAGCCTGGAAGCAGATGATTATTGTATTCTGCTATTTAATATCAATAACCATTTATTATGTGTCTGTGTATGTTTCCAAACTTGATGGCCATCCTATATATTTCAACTGCCACAGACTGCGAGTCAGGAGATCTGAACCCAGTCCTTAAAAGGTGTGACTGTTAGATCTGAAAGGGGCCTTGTTTTGATTGTCTGGGTCAAACCATTATTTCCCAGGTGTGGTGACAGATGCCCAGAAAGTGTAAGTGGCTTGTCATTGGTCACTGGTTGCTTGGTAGTAGGGCACGAGCTGGGACCCAGGCGTCTCAGCTGCCAGGTGGATGCTTTTTGTTCGTCACACAGTCTTGCACGTTTCCTGCCAGGGTTTTTTTTTTTTTTTTTTGCCTTTGTAGTAACTTATGTTTTGACTTTATGGAGGATAAAATTTGGACACAGATGCGAAGTCTCTTGGGAAAGCAAGAGATTGGTAGAAACAGGAGGAGGTAGCTGCACCCTGCCAGCTTCCGCAGAACTTTCAGCTCGCCTGATGTTGTGGTTGATATGGTGATGTCTTTATTTTTACCTCGTTGAAAACAAAAGAGTTTGTTTGCTTTTTAGATTGTTATAGTGAAAATTATAATGGCAGCTAGGATTTTTGTTCTAACATGATGAGAGGCCCTGGTCAACCAAAAAGACCCTAGAAAGGTCTCACTCGGGTTGATTCACCATAATGAAGTTGCTATTTTGTAGGGGCACATTGTCCTAAGAAAAGAGCCTTTTCAGCAAGTAAAGGACTAAAATATCTATGTGGGCCCAGATGGCTAAAATCATGCTTTGAACAGAAGTCCATCCCTGGCTAGAGTTGCTTTGTTTCTGTAGGCTGTCGTCTGTGTGCGACTTGACTGAATGACATGTCCTGCCATCTAGAGGAAAATCTAGATGTTAAAAAAAAAAATCATTGCTATGTTCACCTTGTATAGTAAATTTTTTTCACATTATTAAAAAGAAATCTTTATTGAGATATAATTGACATACCATACAATTCGTCCATTTAAAGTGTACAGTTCAGTGGTTTTGAGTATTCAGTCTTTTCACATTCTTGTCCATCCTAAGTGGGTAGTGGAGATGCAATGCTCTCTCTTCCACCCCATCGAGAGCTGGTTCCATGACTGCCAAATCCAGCAGGTGGCGTGGCACCTTCACAGGTGATTCCAACCTCCCAGGACGGGATGGGCCTGGGGAGGAATGTGCAATGTTCAGAGGTCTGATGCGAACCTGATTTCTTGGTGACATGTTAAGAAAGGAGAGTATATTGTCACCCCTTAGTCCCAGAATTTACCTTTCTTTTTAAAATGGGAGAGTCAGCTCTTGTGGTCCATAGGTTTTGCTCTTCATGTTTAATATTCTTGGGAGAAAAAATGTTTAAAAAATTGTTTTAATCATTCCCTAATAATAAAATATCACGCTCTGACTCTTTGAAAGAAAAGATGGTTGGATGCAGGGGAAGGAAGGTGAAAATATTTCAACCCGGGTACAAAACAGATAGCAGTCAGCTTTTCTGCTCAGTGAATTAAAACAAGAAATGTTAACACTTTTTATGTCCCTCATTACAAATCCATGTTGAAAGTTCAGGAAATTCTTCTGAACGTTTTCTTCTAAAACTGCCTTAAAACTACCTTATCCATGATTTGACCCCTTTGCTTGGTGGTTGTAATTGAGAAGTTGAAATATGCACATTTGAATTATTCTCACAAAGTATGTCTATAATTTTTACTTTCATAAAAGTTTTCAAAATAATCCAGGATAATCTCTCCATCTCAAAACCCTTATCTTATCTGCAAAGTTCCTTTTGTCATGTAAGGCAAAATCTTCATAGGTTCCTGGGATTAGGGCATAGACCTCTTTGGGGTTAGGCAGGGGGCTATTATACTGTCTCCCATGTATTCCAAAAAAATGCCATGGTGGTAAATTTGGGAAATGCTGAACTGAACAAGGTAGAATAGGACTTCCTTGCCCCTTAAAAAATAATAATTTACTACAGCTTACGTTTGTTGAGACTTTAGTGTTTGTGAAGCACTTTGCTAAATTTTTCATGTATTATTTCATTCTCATGGCAATACCAAGGTGTTCTGTTCTCCCCATGCATCCAATGAAGACAGTGAGATTCAAAGTTAAATAACTTGCTCAAGGTCTCACTGTTACTAAGTGGCAGAGGTGGGATTCAACCTTGGACTTGTCTGATGCTAAAGCCCGAGTCTTGGAGATTCACAATATTAATATTCTAACGTGTAAGGCAGGGTGTTTAGGATGCAGAAATTTCCAGATGAATTTAGCCAAAAATCACAGCATTCCACCAGGTTAGTGTTCTTCAGAAAACTTGGTGAAATGATAAACTCTGTGGCCTTTCCACTGGTGTTGTCCAATAGAACTTTCTGTGATGATGGAACTGTCCCTTAGCTGCTTGTCCTATATGGCAGCCACCAGCCACATGTGACTGTTGAGCACTTACAATGTGGTTTGGACCAACTAAGGGGCTGAATTGTAGATTTTATTTAATTTTAATTATTTAAATTTAAATAGTCACATGGGGCGAGTGGTTCCCACATCGGGCAGCACAGCTAGCTCTTTATATGTCCATATCTAAAGTTCAAGTCTAGCCCAGGCCCATGTAGTTACTTTACTTTTTTTTTTTTTAAAGATTTTTAAAATTTTTATTGGGGAACTGGAGGGATGGGAACAGTGCTGGGGAATTGGGGGAAGGGGAACAGACAAGTTGCTGTCATTATGTTCTTCAGTCTAGTTGTGGAGGACATTGCTTCACTGGCCCAAGTTGACACCATCATTGCACTCTTCCCGGGTGAGGCAGATCAGTCGCTGGCTGCTGGCCGCTC